AGCCCTCAGGCCGCGGACTGGACACTCCAAGCGTGCTGGCCTGGGGCTGCTGACCGGCGGGATCTCGGGGTGAGTGGGTGGACACTCGCCGGGCCCAGCGGGTTCCTGCGGCTCGTGCGCCTCCTGCAGGGCAGCAGGCCACACGCACAACCTCGGTGGGTCCTGGGTTCCCAGGCTGGGCGGGTATGGACGCCATGCGCGTCTCTAGGGGGGAGGAACCCAAGATCCAGGCTGGGCACATGTCCCTGTCCATCAGCCTGGACGTCTGGCGTGTCCCCCGCTTCGCCTGCCCAAGCAATGACCTCCTGCAGAAAGACATCATCCCGCGAGAGACAGGGGAGCGCGAGCCTGGCCCACACTGACCCCTAGTGGCCAGCGGTCTGACCGCTGCCCGGATCCAAGATGGCGGAGCTGGAGTCAATCACGTGCTCCGGGGCGGCGCTCTAGGCCGAGCGGGAGGTCCGGGTTGCAGGCACTCGCTGGTGGCAGAGAAGAAAAGTGAAAATGAAGAAAAAGCAGATAAAGAGTCTGATTGTAGGGGAGGGCTTTTCCTGAGGTGTTGCAGCGTTCAGCACCCACTCTACTCCATGAAGATGGGCACTCAGCATTCCTCTCTGCCCTCAGCTTGGCACAGGGTGGAGGTCCACCTGACCCCTCGGTAGCATGGCAAGTACTGGGGGCAGAGAGACCTCAGCTGCTCCCCAGGACAGTGGAAACCCTGCTCTTGCCGAACTTCTGCCCAGGCTGTCGTGTGTGAAGGGTAAGAGGCTTGGTTAGGTGTCTGCCCCGCTGAGAGGGTTGGCTTGTCCACTAGTGGCCGTGAACCCACTGTTCCCCTGGGCAAATAGAGGGCAGAGGCTGCGGGCACACCGGGCACATCCCTGTCTTCAGTGTGGGCTCCCAGCTACCACCTGAGACTCCCCAGGCAAGGTCACACACGGGGACGCTCCAGGTGTGCAGTGCTGAGCGGAAAAGGGTGGCTTACGGAGTGGAGGGGTTGGGAGACTCACAGCCTGTGGGTGCCAGTGCAGGGCTGGGAGAGCCCTGGGCTGGGGTCCGAGGAGTGTGCAGGACAGGAGGCACAACCAGCCTCACCGCCTCTCTCAAGGACTCAGAGCTCCTTCCCCAACACCGCGGGGACCCTGACTGCCACTGAGGCCGCCATGGTCTGTGACAGGAGTCCGGCGATAGCCTGTCCAGGGACATGGACTACATCCAGCTCTCTGCTTGCAGGGCCCTGACAGGTATGAAGAATAAACCAGAGGACACTTGCCATTTGAATGTGCAGCCGTCGTCAGGCCCGACCATGGAAAGCTCGATATAGTATAAGCAGATTGGGAAGAAGGCCGTGAGTCTCGCTTCTCCATCCTTGGAATCGCCACGGTCCGTGACGTGGAAGCAGTAGTGGCCGCCCTGCAGCTGGCACACGAGGCGGGGTAGCAGCAGGATGATAAAGAGAGAGAGAGAGAGCAGAGGAAGCATGTGGGAGTTTGTGCAGAAGCCTAGGAGGCAGGTCGGGGAACTGGCAGGGTGTGACAGGTGCATTGTGTATGCTGTGTGTGTGCGCGCTGCCTGTGGACTGGAGTGGCCAGTGTAATACTGCCACTGCTGTCTCCTAACAAAGTCTGAGGAGGATTGGGGGGCCCTCCCCTCTTGGCCCAGGGGCCCTGCTGGTGCACAAGCCTGTCCAGGTGAAAACCACAAGATGAAAAACATGTTTGTTTGGCATCTGCACCAGGCCCCCGGTGCCATCGCGTCATCCAGCTCCGTGGTCAGCGATACTCCCGGGAGGAGTGTCTGTGAGATCTGGGCCAGAGAGTTAGACAAGGAACCGCTTTGTTTCAATCCAGCTGGCCGTGAAAGGTGTTGGGTGAGTTCGTGCAGGAACATTCCAGCTTGGAATGCTGCAATGTCCAGAAATGGAAGACACCACTGTGCAGACGTTCCTGGTGTCCGCCATGATCTCACACCACTTCGCTGTTTGGAAATATCCCCAAGCATGCCCATTTCCCAGTTACAGTTGTAGCACAAGTTGATTTATTTAGGCTTTATTATTATTATTATTATTATTTGAAAGGAGATCTTCAGAGAGAAGGAGGAAGCGACAAATAGATTTTCCTCCTATTTTTGCTCCTGAATGAACGGAGACGTCAAAAAGCCCCAGGGATCGGAAGGCGTCCGAGGGGCTGCCAGAACGCAGGTCAATGATTTAAAAAATTCAAATTGTAAAAAAGAAAATGACAGATTTAAGAAGAACATCTTTGTATATCCTTCTCTTGGATAATCCACATTCCAATAAAATATATGAATCTTTTCAATAAAATAACTTGTGGGGCCTGGCGGCATGGCCTAGTGATTAAGGTCCTCACCCTGAATGTGCCCGGGATCCCATATGGGCGCCGGTTCTAATCCCGGCAGCCCCACTTCCCATCCAGCTCCCTGCCTGTGGCCTGGGAAAGCAGTGGAGGACGGCCCAAAGCCTTGGGACCCTGCACCTGCATGGGAGACCTGGAAGAAGTTCCTGGCTCCTGGCTTGGGATCGGCACAGTAGCAGCCATTGTGGCTCACTTGGGGAGTGAATCATCGGACGGAAGATCCTCCTCTCTGTCTCTCCTCCTCCTCTCTGTATATCTGACTTTGTAATCAAAATAAATAAATCTTTAAAAAAAGAAAAGAATTTGTGCACATTGTAGCCACTGGCTCCGTGACACTGTGGCGCTTCTCCATTAAATCATCAAATGAAAGTGAAATAAAGATGTTCCAGAACAAACCGAACACAAAGTGTTTGTCACCACTCGGCTGGCATCAAAGATCACATGCTGAGCAAAGACACTCGCGTCTGGAAAGCGGCAGAGGGCGGACCACGTGCTTGGGCACCTGCACCCACGTGGGAGACCTGGTAGGAGCTCCTGGCTCCTGACTTCAGATCAGCCCAACTCCAGCTCTTCCAACTGCTGGTGGAGTGAAAGACTGAGTCAAGGATTTCTCTGTAGCTCTCCCTGTCCGTGTCACTCTGACATGGACCTAAATAGATACGTTTTTAACAAAAGCTCATGAGCTTAACGTGAAGGTAAACAGGGTTATTAAAATGCCTGAGCGATGTGTCAGGCGTCACCCAGTTAGTGGCAGGTTTCTCATTTACCCGGGTTAATCTTGAACGGTTATAGCACCTGAAGTTCCTATTAGCTTTACGTAGCGCTGTCAATACACTCCCCCTTGATTTATTTGTTGTCTTAAACACGTGCGCGGAAGGAACAGAGAGGCCAGACTGGATCAGACCAGAACCCTTTGTGTATGCACGACATCATGAAAGAGGAAACACAAAGCATCCCAGAGAACGCCTGGCGTCGAAAGACACGTACAAGTATAGGAGCCACAACAACAACAACAATAGAAAGAAAACCAAGGACAGTGGGAATAGAAGCTGGCTATTTCTGCAGAGAGAAACATGTGGCCCCAAAGCAGCGCACAGCTCCCTGGTCATCAGTAGCCACAGATGTGCCCATCAAAGACTCGTGCAGTTCCTGTCCCTGAGCGCATGGCTAGGAACTCTGTGGTGCCAAACTACTTTTCCTTTCTTTCTTTTTTTTTTTTTTAAGATTTGTTTTATTTTATTGGAAAGACGGATATACAGAGAGGAGAGACAGAGAGGAAGATCTTCCGTCCGATGATTCACTCCGCAAGTGAGTGCAATGGTTGATGCTATGCAGATCCGAAGCCAGGAGCCTCTTCTGGGTCTCCCATGCGGGTGCAGGGTCCCAAGGCTTTGGGCCGTCCTCCACTGCTTTCCCAGGCCACAGGCAGGGAGCTGGATGGGAAGCGGGGCTGTCGGGATTAGAACCGACGCCCATATGGGATCCCGGGCATGCAAGGTGAGGACCTTAACCACTGCGCCATCGCGTCGGGCCCATTTTTTCTATGTTTTCTTGTGGTACATCAACAGGCCTCAGGTCTGAATCCTCTCAGGGGTTAAATCTGCCAGCAGGCACCAAGGTTGCCAAGAGTGAGGTGACGGCGGCCGTAAGAAGCACCAGAGACAGGCCAGTGAGGAATGTCCACTTTATTATGCACCAGTCACAAGGTTTCAAGATTAAGGGAGGGCAGGAGGGCGTCTTCGGGCAGGCCCCCCCACCCACCAAACACACTTTCATTGGCTATAAGGCAGGTCTATTTCCCTTGATGCTTCTGGTCATGTCAGAGGTCATGGTGCACACGTAGGAATGGAAGTTGTGCCTCAGGTCATGGGCAAGTCGGCAGTGACCCAGGCCCACCAGATAGCAAGCAGGGGCCAGCGGTGACTGCCCGCAGAATCCTGGAAACACGATGAGATGGTCTTTCTGTAGGGTGCAAGGTGACTTTTGTCAAAAGAAGCACCATCCATTTTGCTAGAGGCATCAGTGTTTGCATGCAAAGAGTGAGTAAAGCTTCTTGTGTTCCGGTCTTCTGTAGTTTTCAGGCCTCTTCAGAAGAAATGAGGAGATTGCTACAACAAAACAGGGCAGGGTTCTCTGACACACCCTCCGTGGCAAGCAAGTCTGTTTGGGGGAACAGAGAAAGTTGGAAAGCTTGAGGTGCTCTCGGGTGATCAAAGAGTGGGGCAAGCCCAGCAGGAGGCAGGCAAGATTCCCACAGTGGCCATGAGGGACACCGGGTGAAAACCAGGCCCAGAAAATGCCGAATGTGCCCACTGGCCATCCTAGCGTCCCTCCGGAGCTTCCTGAACCTAAAGAGAGGAGACGTGTTTTACGCACTGGAAGAACCCGGCCCCTGTTCAATATTTATACATACAGAAATATATTTTTTTTAAGATTTCTTTTTATTTTAAGGCAGATTTGACAGAGAAGGTCTTCCATCCACTGGTTTACTCCCCCAAGTGGCCGCAACAGCCAGAGCTGAGCCGATTCAAAGCCAGGAGCCAGGAACTTCTTCCGGGTCTCCCACGTGCGGGTGCAGGGTCCCAAGGCTTTGGGTGGTCCTTGACTGCTTTTCCAGGCCACAGGCAGGGAGCTGGATGGGAAGCGGGGCAGCCGGGACACGAACTGGAGTCCATATGGGATCCTGGCACATTCAGGGAGGGGATTAACCTACTAGTCCACAGCGCCAGCCCCATATGGGAATGGTTGAATGGTATGGATGGAGGGCGGTGATGATGCAAAAGTTTTTGAGTGTAACAGAGAGATCTGGGGGCTAAATCCAATGCCCTGCGAGCATCCTTTGCTCACGAAATACCACCCAATTGGGGACCTCACCATCTCTCCCTTGGGTAGGAGGCAAAGCCCAAAATAGGCAAGTGAGGGCCAGACCAGGCACAGCTTCGTCGAACCCGTGTGTGACCACAGGGAGGCGCTGTCGGCACACGGCGTCGGTTCTCTGTTCACAGCTGGGCAGTCCCGGGAGGTGGCCAGGAGCAGGTGGCCGGGCCACTGAGGCACTGAGATTTCTGCAGCTCCTCCTATGGGGGCGGGGAGGCACAAGAAGGACAAACAGCTGCAGCTCAGTTGGTACCTTGAGACCACAACGTTTTGTGTCAAGTCCAACGTTCAGTAAAGGCCTGCTATAAAACAAACAAACAAACATTTTTTCTCTTTGATCATCATGCAAATTAAAAGTCCATTATCTCAAAAATAATGAAATACTACAACGATTTCTTAGCTTTCCCCCAGCATCTGCAGGTGGCTCCTACTGTGACACCAGGCAGCATTCTAAAATCATTGACCTTGAGAAGTGAATGATGCAAACCTGTTGATGCTGACGTCACCTGGAGAGGCTCTGTAATCCCTGCTTGGCTTGCTCCGCAGCGTGCTCTCAGTAACCTTCTATGAGAGGCTGTCTAACCTATTGACCAGTGGCAGTTCCAGCCCACGGGTGACCAAAGGCATGCAAACCAAGAGCGGCTGGACTGGGCGCTGTGGCCCCAGAGTGGGGCCGCCCACAGCGGGAAACACTCACCTCCCATGGCTTATTGTCTACAAGAGAACGGATCTGAGCTCCAGTTCTTCTAACAGAGCACATATGAGTCCCCCAGCGCGAACCCCTGTTCCCTAACCGGTCACCGAGGGATTCTGACACCAGACAGGTCAGCTGAGTGTCTCCCGTCAGCCAGGCTCTGTCACAAACAGAGGGGTGACTTCGGTGAAGAAGGAACTGACAACAGGTCCCGACGGGCCAACGGCAAGCACCTGCCACTTTCTCAAGACAAATGTCCAACGGGAAGGCATTCCTGATCGCAGCATGGGCAAGGGCACCAGGGAGGTGACCCCGACTTGGCTGTGGCTGCCAAGTCGGAGAACCTGAGGCAGGAACTGGGAGGCAGCACGGCTGAGTCAGGATGTCCGGCCACATCTAAGTGGTAATAGAAACTCGTTGGGGGTCAGTTGGTCAGTGTGGAACAGACTGTTAGACCAGGCAAGCTAGGGGGTAGACCTGCTGTCTGGGTGACAGGTGGTTTGGGTGTCAGGGTCATGGCAAACGTGCAAGTTTCCGATCCATGACATTCTGAATCTGCAGCTGATGTGACTTGCTGATGGGAAGGGGAGGCCGAGGGGGGTCGGTGTCTGGCTCCAAAATGAGAATGAACCTTCAGAGGTGCCCAAGGGCCGCCACAGCTCACAGACTTTGCCAGACAACTGCAGCGAGGCAGGCTCGCCCCCAGCAGGATAGAGCCCCATCGCTACCCTGGGGTGACGAGGATTGTGTGGCTCCCCCAGAGCGTCCAGAGGAGTGAATGACCCGCAAATATGGGCCTGACTCGTTGTGCCAGGAAGACCCAGAACGGGAGCTCCGGTGTGCGCTAGGAAGGTGGGATAGCCCCAGAACAGCCATCTGTACATTACACCCCAGCAGCTGCTCTTTGGGGTCTCCCGTGAGCCCCCCACATACACACATACCCTGTGTTAGAGCTCCCTTTTCTCCCCCAGAAAATCCAGGGACAGCTTCCGGGTCAGCAGGACCCCACCGCTCTTCACCAGGCTGCTGGCAGCCCACATGTGGTCCTCCGAGTCTAGATGAGTCTTCATCCCCGTGTCAGCTCTCCCCGAGGCTTCAACAGAATCCCTGCGCCCTCAATACTCTCGCTGTCCCTGGAGTGCTCCACTTTCCCTAGGGTACCCCTTAGAAACAGCCAGGACCGTCCGCTTGTCACGGCCTACTGTCCACACCGCCAGCTGGGCCAGGGCTTCCGTCTGTGCGGCCGCTGTTAACTTCCCAGCTCCCCCAACGGTGCTTGGCACACGGTAGGCAATAGGTTCCTAAGAGAAGATGCTAAGTTGGTCTTTGAATGTTTGCTAGTTACATTTTGAATATTGATGTGGCAGAGAGAAAGACGGACACAGAGAAGAGGGGGAGAGAGAGGGCCCTTTCTGGTTTGGGTCTCAAAACCCACAAGCTGGAACCACAGGAACCTCGCGCAGTGCTTCTGTTTCCAGAGAGAGCGTGAGGAAGCTAGGGGAGGCACAGGAGGTGGGGCCTGCTGGGTCCAGAGGAGGCTGGCACGCTCTTACCATCCTGGTGTGGCCAGTGGAACGGGACGTCTCGCTGCTCTCGGTTTCAGCTCCTCTCCGCAGGCCGCACAGCCACTTCCTGTATTCCATTCGTACCTGGAAGATGGAGGGACGCCCCAGAGGGCCTCGCTCAGGAGACAGGCCCCTCGCACAGGAAGCTACTGGTGCCCAGTCCCACTGCCCCGATCTCTCCGCTGTAGAACAGGTGTTCATTACAGGATCCAGTGCAGATTTAGGGAAAGGAACCCGTGTTGCTTTCGTACCCACCTACAGGAGAGGTCAAGGCTTCCGGGGGCAGAGCTGACCTCTCCAAGGCCATAGGGGCAGCACTTAGAACCTTCTCGCTTTTTCTCCAGAGCCCTGACCCCAGCCACTGCAGATTCGTCACAGCCCCCGTCCCCCCACTATCGTGGGTCATGCAAAAAAATGCTACCATCCCATCACCAGAACACATTGCTGACTTCTGGAGGGTGGGGAGCCCGCACATGAAGAGGGGGCACCCAGAGATGGGAGAGAAGTTAATTAAGCATCCAGAAGAAGCTTCACGCCACCATGCGTCTGATCTGCTCATATTTCTATCCCACCGCAAAGGAGAGAGTCCGGGAAACATCCAGCAACCTGTCCAACATCTCGGGCACCAGAGGGCTCTGCCAGACCTGACAGGCGCCGCCTCATTTCGATTCTCGGCCCCGTGAGACGGGCACCAGCCGGATCGGGGAAAGGACTGGGGTTGGAGTTGGTCTCTGTCCTGAGTTTAGGGCAGGGCTGCCCACGTCCCTGCCTGAAGCCCCACCTCCCTGTGGGTCCCCGCCTCGGTGAAGTCAGGAGCGACCACACGGTGGGTCTCCCAAGCTGGAGACCCCGGTGTGCTTGTCTTCAGGGTCAGGGGCATCGGGGGAGCAGCCTGCAGGCCAGGGGTGCAGAGGCCTGCGTGCCACCTCCCAGCACTGACCCCTGGCCACAGTCTGGCTGGAATCTTACCACCCACACAAGCGAGAGGCCTGGAGTGCGTTCCTGATGCCCAGCTGCAGCCCAACTAAAGGAGCAGGTAGGGGTGAACCATCGTTCTCTTGCACGCACTTAGAGATGGCATAAGGGGCCTTACCTGGCGGTTGAGGAGACAGTGCATGACAAAAAGCAGGAGCCCCTGCAGGACGTTGACGATGGTGAACAAGTAGGCCATGACCGAGCCGACCGTCTCCCCCATCTCCTCCACCATGAAGTAACCGAGGCCCCAGGAGCACCCCAGAACGAACAGCTGGGCAATTGCTTTGAACGTCATGAGCCTAGGGCCAGGGTGGAGAGCGAGAGGAGAGTGATGTTGGCACAGGTGGCTCAGCAGGTGCACGCAAGACCTCAAGAGCCTCGTGCCATGAGCTGTCCCTGGCCACTAAGAGCAGGGCCCTCCCCTACCACGGAAGAGTCTCTCTCCTTTGCCATGAGGGAGATGCCCTCTGGATGCCCATTCTGAAAACCTTGACTTCTTGACATAGTGCAAGATTTCTTCCAGTAAAGATAGTGTGGCATGGGGGTGCTGACGGCAGGCGGCTCTGTGCGTGTCTGTCTGTCCCTCGCACTGACTTTATCCAACAACAGGAGAATTTCTGGCACATCTGTGGGTTGCCACTGACCCGGCTACATCCTCACCTGGTGTCCTGGATGGTGGACACTTCCTTGTTAAGGGAAGAAAGCTTGCTCCTCAGAATCCACAGGATTTGGAAGTAGAAAACCAAGTTTATCTGCAAAAACAGTAGGAAAAATAAATGGGGTGTATGAGACAGCACCGAAGGAGGGCCCCCAACTTGAAAGGTGGGAAATCCTTTCGTGGGGCTTTGCAAGCACAAGATGGATGGACAGGCCCTGGACTCTCATGTGCCCATCAGCCCTTGGGAGGCCTAGTCAGGTGGCTATGGAGCTTTATCCGTTTTCAGGGACCCTGGTTCGAATAGGAGCGTGCTTTAGTAGCTATGCCAGACCAACAGGAAGTCCCAGCATGGAATAGGTTCTAAGGATTTGCTGAATAAATGAACGCAGTGAACTCGGATGAACTCAAACGAAGTTTCCAGAAGGGACAGCGGCCCACTGACTGGCGTCTTCCTCTTGTCTGTACTTCATTTCCAACATGTGCGGTTTGGAAACACACACACCCTTCGCCTGGCCAATCTGAGACAGACATACGCAAAAAGGTGATGACATACCAAGATGATGGCCGCCACAGGTCCCAGAAAGCTCCAGATGAACCCGTTGTCGGGACTGAGCCAGCAGCTGCGGAGAGAAAGACAGAGAGAACTTGGGGTGGATCCTGGATGGTCCCAAGACACGTTTCGTCTGCGACTTGGGTTCCAGAATGAGCCATTAGCTGTGTGCTCTGAGTACGAGTGTCTTAGGTGAGCTAGCCTGACTCTCGCCTCCTTCACACACACTTGGGAACCCTGCCTTGAGTTCGTATCTGTGACATTTTCTGTGAATCATCAACAGGGACGTGTTGAAGTCCGGATAAAGTTGGGGCAGCATTGACACAAGATTCCGGCCTGGAACCTCCCCGTGCGTGGACACAGGTGGTCTGGTTCTTTACGTAAGCGTGGCCGTTTAATGGTCGCCATGAGGAGACCTGTGGCCATGCGTCAGCCAGTACCGCGTCCGCACGCTACAGGGCAGCGTGGTCTGTCTTCCGTCACGGCTTGGGTTTATGGCAACGACAGGACTGCACTCTCAGGGGTCTTAGGAGGTGAGGACCTGGCCCTCCCCGAGTGTACACAGACGCACGTCATGCTTACTGAGTGTAGGTCCCGTAGTTTTCGTATCCGGCACTCGCACATACGATGACGATGACAGCGGGGACCCCGTAGCCCAGCGGGTACATGAAGCGCTTCCGGAACCTGCTGGCGCTGGTGTAGTTGGCCACCTGGAGGTTCCTGACGGTGAGGAACAGCCGCAGCCCCTCGAGCAGCATCCAGACGAAGGCGGCCAGGTACAGGAAGTGCAGGACGGCCGCCACGATGGAGCACAGCACCTGCGGGGGGCGGAGCGGGGGGTCAGTGTCCACCGAGCAGGACCCACCCACCAGTCCATGCCCGCCACACCCTCAGCCTCACACACGGCACAAGTCCCGTCACCACACCAGAACCCTGCCTGGTATTCCAGGCCCCTCCCCAGCTGTTGAAGTATTTGACGGAGTGAACCAGCAGATGAAAACCATCCATCTTAGGTAAGTTGAAACGTATCAAAACAGGTGGGTGGTAGCTCTGATTTGGAAAACATCTGGGTTATCCCCCTCAGGAGAGCAACTTTCTGCGGGAAGCCCCGGTTGCAGTCCCAGCCAGGATTTAGCAACGCCCCTCCTCTCTTTCTCTTCTTGAAGTTTACATCTTAAGCGTGGGCCCGGCACGGTAGCCTAGCAGCTAAAGTCCTCGGCTTGCATGACCGTGACAGTGAGAGAGAACGTGTTCCCATCACCCACCTGGGGCTCAGTTCTTCGGATGCCCGTGAGGAAGAGGAAGTGTGCCAGGAACAGGCAGAGCGTGAGCTGCAAGTGGATGGAGGTGCCGGTGCTGCGGAGAGCCGGGCACAGCAGGAAGGTGAGGGCCGCCAGGAAGAGGCAGAGCAGGGAGACGCCCAGCCCCACGTAGGTGACCGCATTAAGCACAGGGTCCTCCTGCAGGCCCCAAAGAGAAGAAAAGCCAGTTAGAGCATCCGCATCGACGGCCGTGTTCCCGACCGACCGCTGAAGGCTTCCCGTGGTCCAGCGCCGGGCCCAGGATCCTCATCCCTCAGCGCCTTCAGGATGGGGAGCAGGGCGCTGATGACAGCATGAAACACCCAGGCCTGCCGGGATGGAGGAACTTCCCACCAGACACCATATCCAAAAATGTAAACAGGTGAAATTCATTTGATCGTATGTTTCATTCCACCCGATGACGTTTTGGGTGTGTGTATAATCCGTGAAAACAATGTAAAAAAAATGTAATTGAGATAATAATGTAAAAAAATAATGCAGAAACAGTGTGAAATATTCAACACTATTTATTTTCATAATTCAAGCTGTGAAATGGATGTCTGTTTCACACGGAACAGCACACCCCAGCTGATGTGCCCCGGCCATTGTGGCCACTTGGGGAGTGAACCAGCAGATGGAAGATGTATTTCTCAGAAGAGGCAGGATGGGGGCCTGGGCACTCGGGCCCTTTTCTGCTGCCTCGCCAGCTGCATTCTCAGGTAGCTGGATTGGAAGTGGGGCACCTGGGATTTGAACCGATGCCCATGGGAGATCCCAACATCACGAGCAGAGGCTTAACCTGCTGTGCCACTTTGCCTGCAGCCTGAGTTCTTAATTTTTTCTGTTATGGCTTTTAATTGGTTGGGACGATATTTCTGCCAGCTCTGCTTTTAGACCAGAGATGGTCTCCCTAAGAGACTGTTGAATTGATCTGAACAATAAGACGCTGGACTCGATGCATGGTACATGCTTGCGATGAAAGCAGCATGACTGGATTTGAACTGTAATACTGCAATAAGGGAGGGCACGGGGGAATCTCAGAGCCTACGAAACGATGTCGTAAAATGAAATGTAACAATAATAAAAAGCCACAATGGCAACCAAAAAAAAAAAATTAGGACGATAGGGAGATGGATTGGAAGTAACGCAGCCAGGACTCAAACTCGTGTCCAGGTGGACGCTGGCATCTCATGTGGTTGCTTAAGCCGCTGTATCCATCCAGGGTCCCCACATGGGGTGGAAGGAGCCCAATGAGTGGCCATCGCTGGCTGCCCCTTGGGGTCTGCCTGCATCGGCACAGGCTCGCGGCAGGAGCAGCCCGGGCAGTAAGCATGGGGTGTGACGCCTTTGCCCACCTCCCCATCCTCCATCCGTCCTTGAGTCTGCATACCTTGGGCGTCAGAGCCATGAGCACAGCAAAGCTCGACAGGTGGGAGCAGCCGCACACGGTGTGGGTCTCGTTGCTATAGACGTGTGAGCAGCCCTCGGTCGACCAGCTTCCTCCCTCCGCTGAGACCGCCCAGTAGACACAGAAATACTTCTTGTTTGCACCGCCGTCAGTCTGTCAAAAGAACCGCGCAAAAGCAGGTGTCTTCACGGGCTTACCAGTTCAGCTTCATTGCTAGTCCCATAGCACCTTGAGTTGCGCGCTGGGCCTAGGGCAACATCTGGGGCAGACGGTTTCCCAGCACACCACACCTGCTATGGGATTTCCCCCCCACATGGGCGTCTCAGGTCCTTGGGGACTGTCCCTTCTGGCCTGCCACACCCCAGTGGCTGCTGGCAGAAGCTACAGGATAACCCTGCACCACCAGCCCCCTTCCCTGGCCTCTCTCCTTTATAGAATCCCAATGGCATTGTTGGGTCTGCCCGGCCTTCTTCCTGCTCCCCTTTTTGCTACACTGTATAAGCCGTAACTCTTTGAAATAAATGGACATTCCCTCATCAGATTTGTCTCCACTGTCTCACCCCTGGGTGGTCTCCAGGCCTACTGGACAGAAGCCCCCAAGTCCCCAGGCCACCCAGCACGTGGGAGGGGACGTGGCATCACCTCTCTTCCCAGCTCACAGGTGGACGCAGGAAGCTGCCCACACACCTTCTGGGGTGCGACAGCCTTCAGCTTTGCTCACCCGAGTATGTTGAAAAGTCAGGGACATGGGCTCATGCAGCTGGAGGGAGTGGCTCAAGCCGACGGTGCCGCTCACGATGCGGGAGCTGAGCTGCAGTCCCCGCATCCCTCTCCTCTGACTGAAGAAGGACGCATTCAGAACGTCCCCCAGAGACTGGTGAGTGATGAGGGCAACCACACTGCTGCCTGGGCAGACAGAACAGAGGGGCTGTCAGAGCTGTGGGGGCTTTGGGGGCATCTGAGCCACAGGGACCTGGTACATCCCTGTCTCGGGCAGTGCGCCACTCAGGTGCCATTGCCCTTGGGTAGTGGATGGGCAGCTGCTTTGCCTGGCCATGAAGATATCTGCGTCCCTCCTTAGAGGACCCGGGTTCGATGCCTGATTCTGGCTCTTGGCTCAGCCTCCTGCCATTAGACAATGGGAAAGGGCAGTGGAGACTCCTGGCGTGAGGTGGAAGTGAAGTAAGGGGCTTTATTCTGGTTAAGTTGTACTGTGTGACTTGAAATCGTGTGTTAAGTAATAGGTGAATAGTATTAAGGAATAGTTTATAACAAGTAAACATCTAGTCGCACAGAGAATAAAGTTAAGTTAGTGATAAGGTGGTAGCAAAAATGTGTGCGTGTTAAGTGATAGTATTAGGTAATTAAAGAAATTAAGGTTAAGAGATAGTATTAAATGGGTAAGTGGCAAGAAGGCAATTAAATCATATGTTGTGCTAATAATATTGAGTGATTCAATGCTAATCTAACTGCTGATTTTGCCTTCTGTGATAAGTGCTCAACTTACTGTGTAGGGAACGAAGGCAGAGCCATGACAGGCTGTGGGACAGCCTAGAAGTTTCTGTTTTCTAGAACTCATGTGACCACTGTCCAGGAAGAGGGTTGTCACCCACCCTAGGCAGAGCCAACCAATCAGGAGTGACCTGGAAGGGCTCTGGTTAACAGGTGGCCCAGGATTGACCAGTCCTAAATCCCAGCTGTGTCCGTTCACACAAGTTGTCACCTACTGATGGAGTTTAGCATTGTATGACAAAAGCCCTACACAAGCTATGTAAGAGTGGTGGGCGGGGTCCTTGTCAAGACTCCCACTGCGTTGGATGAGACTTGGACCCCAGCTCGAGTGAGCAATAAAGTCTCTTTGCTTGTGCATTGCTGCGTGTGGAGACTGTTTCACGGCTGGGGACAGATTCCGGACCTGACACTGGCACCCCCGTGGGATGAACAAGGATGGTGCCCCAGGCTCCCAGCTTTGGTGTTGTGGGCACTGGTGAGCAATCCAACAGACAGGCTCTTCATTTCCTGCCCTAGTTCTAAGAAAATACGATGTTTTAAAAATCAACTCATTTTGGGCCTGGCTGCATAGCCTACTGGCTAAATCCTTGCCTTGCATATGCCTGGAAACCAGATGGATGCCAGTTGGGATTTGGCTGCTCTATTTCCCACTCAGCTTCCTGCTTGTGGCTTGGGAAAGTAGTAAGGACAGTCTAAAGCCTTGGGACCCTGCACTTGTGTGGGAGACCCGGAAGAAGCTCCTGGCTCCTGGCTTCAGAGGGGCTCAGCTCTGGCTGTTGTGGCCACTTGGCGAGTAAACCAATAAACAGAAGATCTTTCTCTCTGTATCTCTTTCTCTCTGTAAATCCACCTTTCCAATAAAAATAAATACATCTTTTTTTTTTAAAAAAATCAACTCATTTTTCAGTCCCTCCCCCCCTGCTCTCCCACAGCACAGCTTTGAATAAAGAAGAATATTCCAGATTGGAAATATAAGAGGTCAGGGGATGGGATATTCCCGGGACTTTCCTGTCCACAGACAAGGTCTAAGCACATCATGGAACATACGTTACACCTGTTCCTCAAAGCAGACAAGAGCCTGGATGACAAATTGCTAAATTCATAGGCTGTATCCCAGGAGAAAGACTTTGCAAATCTGTGCGGGTCTCAACCCCCTCCCCTCCCACTGCCCAGGCCCATCCCCTGGAAGGGGAACAGTGGGAACCTAGACTTTGAGTCGCAAGGCTTGGGCGGAGACACCGTACCTCCTGAGGTTTGGAAGGCGCTGCAAGAGATGAGCATCGTGTTGTTTCCGGCTTCCAGGAGAATCTGCTCGCTCTCCTCGTGGCACTTCTTCGATTCATAGACTAGAAACATCAAGCAAGGGAGTCGCAGGGCAGCGGCCAGAGAGGGAGCCTGGGACACCCGCATGGCCTGCAGGCAGTGCCGGCGTGAGGCTCTACTCCCTGCTCACTCACATCCCAGGAGACAGCAGGGGATGCAACAGGTGCATGGGTCCCAGCCGGAGCTCCCAGCTCAGCCCGGGCTGTGGCAAGCATTTGAGAAACGAACCAGTGGACAGAGAAAACTTCCTGTCTCTCTCGCTCCTTCTGCCTGCCTTTCAAGTTCATTCATCAAGAAGGAGTTGGCATCGTGCAACACGGCTGAATAGCGAAGTGGCATGCTGATGCTGGCCACGGGAAGACAGAGGGTTGTGTGTGTGGAACGGGGGAAGTTTGCAATGGACAGTCTACAGAAAGGAGAGACTGTGGGACAGCGCGGACAGTACGGACTTGTCCTGGTGCTGACTGACTCCCGCTGCCAGGGCAGGAGAAGATGCCATTTCCTGAGAGTAGGGGATGTCATTTTCACACACACACACACACACACACACACACACACACACACACACACACACGGGATAAGTCCACAGTTCCCACCCACTGGGAGTCTGGCCCTGGAGAGTTGGTGAGGGGCTGGGCACCCCCTCAGAACTGTGAAGGGCTCCGCTTTCTGCCCGACCACGACCATCCATCACAGTCACCCAGAATCAAACTACCAAGGCAGAACACCCACAGGCGCCTGGCTGGCAGGCTGACTGGCTCTGGGAACATCTGTGCTCTTTCTGTGGGCAGAGCTGGGTCAGGGGCTGAGAGTGGCTCCCTGGTACTCCCCGCTGCCATCACTGCACAGTAGGGCGTGGAGTGTGGCCGGGGCTGTGGGCAGTTCTGACTTTAGAGTCCCAGAGTTCCCTACGTGCCTGGGGAGAGGGCGTGGCACTGAGGACTACACAGATCCTGTGTGCGGCTCAGGTCTCTGCAGTGGTTGGGGTGCTCAGTCACTAATGAGGGGGCTAACTCCGGGCACTGACCACCCAATCAGGAAGGCGGGGAGGCTGTGATGACAGCAGCTGATGGGGTCCTGCCCTCATCGTTGCTGACAGCAGAGTCACCCTGGCAACCTTGGGTGTTACCCTGGATTGTTGCCCCACTCTCAAGCAGCTGGCTTGAGCTCCCTGGCCCTGCCCAGCTGGAGGAACAGGCACTCCACCAAGCCACAGAAGCAACAGTTCAACGCTGAAAGTTATCAGGGAGGAAACCCAGCAGAAGAGTCTATCAATGCCTAAAACAATAAATGTACAGACCCAAGACACGTGACCAGATAGACTCCCCCAAAAGGCACATGCCAACATGTCAGCATGAAACGGAGGAAGAGGAGGTTGACAAAATGCCTGGAAAGGCATTCAAAAGAACAAGATGGCTTTCAAAGGAGAGAAACAAAAAGGCGAACATGTGAGAAACACACTTAATAAATAAGCCCACGAGGTCACGTGCTGGCGGGACCCAGAGCGCTTGCTGGTCTACCCCTAATGCTGAGCTGACCACACTCCTGCACACATCGCTGCACCAGAAGGAATCAGAAACAGAGAAATCTGCCTTCCTCCCTTGGATGTGTATGTGACGATATCATGGATTGCCACTATGGATGCCTGGGGCGAACCCAGACCCATGAGCCCGAGGAGTCCGTCGGCGTCTCACCTATTCCAAGCGAGGGCTTTTCACCCTTGTGTGGAGAAGCAAGGCTTTCATTCCACACGGCCAGCTCCACTTGCTGAAGTATCTGCGTTGCAGTCCTAGCAACCTGCTGTTTGTTCATGTTTCTGTTCAGATTTTTCTGCAAACAAACAAAACATCAGGTCCACTCTCAATGAAACCCAAGCAGGAAGATGCTCACAGGAGCCGAGTGAGCCCCAAGAGGCAACAGCGTCCATGCAGCTGCTGCTAGAGGGGGCGGAGAAGGATGTCTCAGCTAAGCACCGAACACAGGATCGTGTTCTTGAACTTGACACCTGCCACTGGGGCATTCTTAGCTGTTGGGGGTCACCCTGTTAACTCTAGGATGTTGAGTGATACCCCTTGTCTCCCCTACACTGGGTACCATCCGCACATCCACCAAAGAAATAGCATGTGACAGAGTGTCCCCAGACACTGCCAAGCAGCCCCTGAAACACACAGCACCAAATTTCCCCCGATGAGAACGGTTCCCGTTGAGAAAGTCATTGGAGTGGCTTTAGCATTTGAGCAGGAGCCTGACATGGCCAGATCAACCCGCTCTTCCCCAAGCCCAGGCCACATGCAACTCACCCAGACATTCCCTGGCGACTCCATCTTCCGATTCCTGTCCTTTGGGGGAGCAAAAATATCCGTTCCTTGGGATACAAGAGAGAGCACACTGTGACTCCTACTGCTTTCCCGGTTGGGTTCTTTGCCTGACGTTCTGTACCCATGTGAATCCCCAAGAAGGTCCAAATGTGTTCTGCCATAGGATTGTTTAGGGAAATGGTTGTAGGGATGTTGTAAAACCAAGTGGATATAGGTTGGCTAAAGGGTTCAAGGGCATTCTTTTGGGGAGCTGTGTAACCTCCCCTGTCTACTGATTCCTGGGCCCAGGGACAGCTTTATAATGAACAGCTTACATCACTGCTAATGCCAAGTGAGCAGAACTTCTGATTCATTCACACCCTCTAGGCTCAGGTGGTCGATGTGATGGAGCAATAGAGAACAGCCCATATCGGACCACTGAGAGCTTCCTCCCCCCAGCCACCAGCAAGGGACCAAGCACTGGGATCCATGAGCTTCAAAGGGTCTGAGTCCTACCAGCAACGGAGTGTGTGGGCTCGGAAGAAAATCCTGCTTCTGTTGGGTCTTCATAGGAAACCGTTCCCCGGGGCGAAATCATTTGCCAGGGCCACACTGTGATTGCAGTTATGGGAAACCCAGAGTCAGATCCCGGAAGTCATGCCTGAACTCCTCGCCCACCACAGAGAGGAGATAGTAAATACACACTGTTTCAAGCCACTCCATTCTGAATTAACTTGGTACTCAACACTATGTAACTCTTAAAACAGGTGTAGTGTAACTAACTGTTCTACAGGTAAAACACATGGAAGCTGGTACCTGGAAGAGCCAAAACTGCCATCCAGTATACTTGACGCAAACAAAACAAAACAAAATCAGGTAACCAAGTAGATATTAAGCAGACCAATAAATGTTGTGGCTGTAGGGAGGGCCAGGCTTCTTATTGTTGCAGACTGGAGTTATGAATAAGGAAAGAGCATGCATGGTAGCCAAAGGTCCTTGCTTTGCCGGTTCATGTCTGGTTCATATCCTGGTGGCCCTGCTTCCCATCCAGCTCCCTGCTTGTGGGCTGGGAAAGCAGTCTAGGAAGACCCATAGCCTTACAACCCTGCACCCACGGGGGAGACCCAAAAGAGGTTCTTGGCTCCTGGCTTTGGATCAGCTCAGCTCCAACCGTTGCAGCCGCTTGGTGAACAAATCAGCAGCAGAAGATCTTCCTCTCTGTCTCTCCTCCTCTCTCTGTGTATCTGACTTTCCAATAAAAATGAACTTAAATAATCAATAAGGAAAGAGAGAAGGTAGGACAGACCTTGGTGTTGGGCTGGACCCACCGTCAGCAGTCGGAGCTCAGACACGGAGAGATACAGAAGAATGGGGGATTGGACAGAGATGAACAGTCAGAGGGAGCGAAAAGAGATGGACTCAAAGAAATTGAATTTAAGGTAAATGAACGATAAAGAAGTGGAACAGCTCAGACCAAATAAATAAATAAATAAATAAAATAAAAGATGTTCTTTTGAAACTCCAAGGAAGAGAATCTACAGAAACATCTTGAGCATCAACAGAGCGACAGTCATTGATGACGCAGGCTGGAGGCATATCCTGGAAAACACCACCAAGGGCACCCCAGGGCTGGAGGACAAGTGTTGGCACGGAGCTGGGGTCTCTCATCCCCAAACTGGCAGGACTCTCAGCGACCCCCTCCCCCCTCCTCATGTTTGGAAGGCAATGAGAGGAGCTCTTACTGAAACAATCTGGATGGTCTTCGGTAAAGACGTGAGCCAACAAGTTCAGCAAGGAGGGGCTGACCACACTGCAGCTGCGGATGTAATATCCTGTCCCATTTCTGCAGATCGCAATCGGATAGCGCTTTACTGGCCCGGTCGGACACTCGTCAGTATCTACAATCAAGAGCAAATCAGTTGCAGCAAAATGGTCCCAACTGGTGACCATGGTGCTCAATGAAATACGCCAATCCCCCAAAGACAAATACCACCACCCCCTCCTATATAAGGCAACCTTCCTGCAAAATACAAGATCGTCAGATATACAGATAAACGTGTATAAACCTATATTCGTCCGGAGGAGCTGTGTATGGAAGACTAGCATCCCAAGAAGGAAAGCTATGTTGCAGTATGCATCCCTACTCCCTAATAAAAGATGAACTCTTAAATGTATCTTGACGATAGGATGCGGGACTCCCTGCCATTGTCTATACTTGTGATGTCAGGGTAGACTTAAACAGCACGATGATGGACTTGGGACCATTGCTGAAGGACTGCTGTAATAATGTGGGGGACATCAGTGAGGAGGAGGAGGCAGTGGAAGAAGCTGGAAGGAGAAATCCCTGAGCCTGTGGAAATGCATCGTGAAAAATTCTTAATTTTTTTTTTAAAAAGAGAAAATCGTTTCCCCTCCCCCAGGGTTTTGATATATCTCCTCCCCCCTAGGATCACTATTGCCAAACACTGTGCACAGGATCCGAGTTGATAGATCAGAATTGGAGGTCAGGCAGGGTTACCCCCAACTCGCTCGCTCTGCAGCACTTGGGAGCAAGAGCGCCTGAACCCACAGCTCGTGCTCCGGCAGCTTGCCTGCTGAGGAAGGAGCTGTGAATTTGGTCTGGGCTACAGGTTGACACGGGCTTGGGTAGATAAGACACGGAGCAGAAGAGCTACCACGCATGAGTGATGGAATTGAGACCCCACTCCACCCCCCCAAGTGTCCTTACCTTCACATCTCTCATGGGACTTCACAAACGTGGGCTGGAACCCGTCCTCGCAAGTGCAATGGGTACTGTTGTAGCATCGGGCATTTTCAGGGCACGCAGGACACTGAGCTGCAGGGAACACAGAAGACCATCACTCACCAGCTCACCCATTTATTCCAGAGGTGTTTCTCGAACGTCTACAGTGTCCCAGACGCAACAGAAGAGCCTCCAGCGAACAGTTCCGGGAGTGTCTCTTTTGCACCTTTCCGAAGCTGGATTCAGATGTTCAGAACACTTCCTCCCAGCCCACCTCTGCCACCCACACACATCTCGCCTGAAAGCTGAGTTTCCAACAGCCAGGACCTGTACCCGACAGCCTGCTCTGGGCATCAGATCCTATTCGCCCACACCGCACGTTGGCGAAGGATGCGCTCTGCCTGAAGGACAGCCTGCCCGGCACTCAGTGACTGACACCACTTCATCAGTGTTCAAGGAAACATGTCAAAGTGATTCCACTCTGACGAAGCACCTCAAGCAGTCAAGTTCCTAGACTGGAGAACCAAGACTCCCCCTGGCTGGGGTTGGGGAGTTGGGGTGAGTGTGTAGCAGGCAGGTGTGGGTGAGGTTTCCATTTTGAAACATAGACACAGTCTGGAGACGAACTCGTGTAACAAGCGTGTAACAATGTGAGCAGAGCTCAAATGGATACACTTGACCTTGGCTCAGAGGCACATTTTGGTGTCATGCATATTTCTCCGCGACTTGTGATGATAACAATAAAACAACTTCCTTATCTGTGTAGAGAGCCAACTGTAAACCACGTCTAATAGGTCCCACAGAGGTGCCCGCCTGTGAGGTAACAGGTCCTATACTAACTCCACCACTCCCTCCATCCTTTCCCATTTCCAGTAGCTGCTTCCTGGGGCCCCCTGCACCCCAAGACTTGCTCTCAAGTCCTTATCTAAGGCTAGCTTCTAGGGCAACCCAACTCAAAACGAAGCATTTCCTAGAATGACTTAAAGCCCCGTGTTGCGGGACAGGGGTTAGCATCTGGGCTCAGCATCTACCAAGTGATGCTTGCGCCACCTTGCCACCTAGAACCTTCCACCAGCAGCTTTGCCAGAGGACCATAGTCAAGTGGGGAGCATGCTAGTACTTCCTTTCTAGTGATGTCCTGGGCACTGAATGAAGCCAGCTGTGTAATTTGCCAAGAAAAGACAGGTGATGGTAATGATGGGGGGAGAGGCATCAGTTCTTGGCCATCTCCAGGGAGTTAGAAACAAAATCCCAGGACCCCCTGTGAATGCGACCCCTCCCCTTCCATGAGGGAAGATTCCAGATGCCAATTACCTTTCTTTGGGCATAAACTCACCTCCAGAGTTCTTTATCCCTGATATGGACAAAGTCAGCAGGACACCCAGGGCTGTAACAGAAACAGAAGCGGGTGAGGCAGCCGTGCTTCATCAAGTCGCCTGGTAACTTCCACGTTTGTGGTCACAGTGAGCTTGTGGGGGACAGTGTGTCCCAATCAGGGGGAACCCCCCTGCTAAGCCAGCAGTTCCTACGAGTCCAGAACTAACAACGCACGTTTGGTCTCCTTTGGAAGCTCCTCAGCGGCTCTCTATCAATCCAGACCTCAAGCCCTGCCCTGGGCAATAGAAATCGCAAAGAAACCACATAGGTTTTCTTCAAGTGTCAGGCAACCACACGTTTACAAAGCTGTTAATTTCAAGAATAGATTATATGTCACCCAATATGGCCAAGAGGCCATTATTTTAATAACTAACCCATCTAGATCATTAATAATCCTAGTTGTACTCACAACACACCTCCATTTATAATAACTGCATTGTCTTTGATTTAAACAGACACAGAGATAGGTGTGGCAGGCCAGGCAGAGAGAAGCTCAGAGCTTCCCATCAGTCAGTCCATTCTTCAAATTCTCCCAGTATCCCCCTCGACTTGACCAGCAGGAAGCCAGGAGCTTAGGAGCTTGGAGCCTCATCCTGGTTTTCCATGAGGCCATCCCCTGCCACTGTCCCCAGATGTGCAGCCGCAGAGAGCTGCAGAAAAGGTCAAGCACCTCAACGTGCAATGCAGATACTCCAAAGGGTGGCTCCGCTGCTGGGCCGCACACCCACCCCTAGATTGGTCACATTTTGAGTAGTCTGTGGCCACACATGGCTGGCGCTGTGGTATTGGACAACAGAGGTTTAATCCATGGTCGTCCAGGCTTTCTCTCAGATGGGAGGATGCCTGAACGAGAATCATGTCAGGCTACCACTGCGGGACAGCTGGACTGGAGAAGGACGCTTGGAGAGCGGTTTGTTTCTGCCACCTTGTGGTTGGGGAGACCTCCCAGCTAGCCTTCCATCCTTTGCTTGTACCTGCCTCCTCCCCTAAGAGATGCTAAAAGCTCAGAGCATAACAGAATAAAGCTACGGCCTGGTCTGCTGGTGACCACTCAGGAGCAGCCAGAGATGCGTCCCCTTAGTCTGCACCTGTCAGTGAGTGTGCGATGTGTCCCCCGCAAAGAGGACATTCTTTTCTTCTGTCACGGTGGAGGGCAGGGCAAAAATGTTGGGGAGACACCCACTGTTTTGGAAGAGCCCCCAGCAGGACTGAGCTCTCATGATTCATAGGGGCAACCCCTCCTTCACTCGCTCTTGAATCAGCCCTGCCTGTGAGACACCTCCACGCCTTCCTTGCATTTCCAGGGCAGTGTTCCCAAATAGCTCAATGTCCACACCTGTCCTGACCTCCATGGGGTTTCAGAGACGGCAAGGAGGATTCAGAAAGAACAGGTGCACACAGTTAACCCATCAAGACCATGTCACGGAAGGCCAGCATCTCAGGGATGAGGAGAGAAGGGGGGATGCGTGGCTGCACTCACCTGAGGCCCATGACAGGCAGCTGCCGCTCATAGCACAGAGGTACCGAGACAACAGGGGGAGAATCTCAGGCAGGTGATAGCCAACGTTCCTGGAATAAACAAGGATTGTAAGAACCAACTCCGGGGATGGACAGGGGGGCGGCTGGTCTCAGAGCTTATCAAAGCCATTCCCCATCCGCCTTTGTTTAGAACAAGTGATGATTCCGCTTTACACTCAGCTCCCTGTTGAAGTGCACCGTGGGAAGTGGCTGGAATCAAGTCCTTGGGGTTCTCACGCCCACGCAGGAGACCTGGGTGGGGTTGGAGCTTGTGAGGCATTTGGGGAAGTGAATCGACAGATGGAAGATGTTGATGTGGCTCCTTCTCTCTCTCCCTCTCTGCCAGTTTATCTTTCAAAGCAGGGAGGGTGCGAGGGAAGTGACGCCATGTGACTCCTCTTGATTCAAACTCCCACAAGGTGGGCCCTTTTGTTTGACAGCTCCCCATAACCTAACGCCCTGCTTCCGTGAATTTAACTTCTCCCTTTGCCCCAAAGAATAAAAATCCAAGGGGTAAAAAAAAAAAAAAAAAAAAAAAAAATCTAGAGAAATCTAGATTAAAAGAGCCCATTAAACAAATCAAACCAAATCATGTTTCAAAGATCCCACGGTTGAAGATTGTCTAATTTCCAAAAATACGATCATTTGTCCTTGGTCCATCTAGGCTACTGTGCCCAAAGGAAGCTGTTAGTATATTAAAGTGATTATATTTAGAGAGGACTCCAGGACGGGTGTGTAGCCTAGCAGTTAGCACAACAGCACCCCCAGCAGAGGACCTGGGTTCAAAACCCGGCTCCGGCTTCTGACTCCTGGGGCACAGCAGAGATGGCTCAAGTGGTTGGGGTCCCCACCAGCCACACAGGACCCCTGGGCTGAATTCTCACAGCCCTGGCCATCCCGTGTACTTGGGGGTGACCTAGCAGATGGGGTTGGCTGCTCTCTCTTCCTCTTCTGTCTCCCAAATATTTTAAACAGGGACGGGAAAGGCCAAGTCCGGACATATACTATTATGAAAATAACTGAATAGCAAAGGGGAAGTATATGTGATGACACTTGCAACATTTATGTAAAACAGACGAGGATAAGAAGAAGGTTGGCATACCCCATCGCATTCAAAATAGCTACATACATATTATAAATACACTTCCATAACAAGGCACCAACCTCCGTTAGCGTGCCTTATAGAAGGTCTTCAAAAAGTTAACAGAACCCCTATTCAAAAAAAAAAAAAAAAAAAAAAACAACTAGGGCCCGGCGCGGTGGCGCAGTGGTTTAAAGTCCTCGCCTTGCACGCCCGGGATCCCATATGGGCGCCGGTTCTAATCCCGGCAGCCCCGCTTCCCTTCCAGCTCCCTGCCTGTGGCCCGGGAAAGCAGTGGAGGACGGCCCAAAGCTTTGGGACCCTGCACCTGCGTGGGAGACCCGGAAGAGGCTCCTGGCTTCGGATCGGCATAGCATCGGCCGTTGCGCTCACTTGGGGAGTGAATCATGGGACGGAAGATCTTCCTCTCTGTCTCTCCTCTCTGTATATCCGCCTTTTCAATAAAAAAAAAATTAATAATAAAAATAAATCTTTAAAAAAAAAACTATGTGTAGATTTCAAGTTTAATATACAAAAAAAAATTGTACATAGTGTCGAGTTATAAGCTGAAATAGACAGACACGCCATACAGTGTCCAACACAGATATACACACCTGTCTCCTCAAATATTTACAGAAAAAAAAAAAATTGGGACCTGCACCGTGGCATGGTGGATTAAACCTCTGCTTGCAATGCTGGCATCCCACATGGGCGCTGCTGGCTCATGTCCCGGTAGCCCCACTTCCCATGCAGCTCCCTCCCTGTGGCCTGGGAAAGCAGATGAAGATGACCCAAAGCTTTGGGACCCTGCACCTGTGTGGGAGACCCGGAAGAAGCTCCAGGCTCTTGACTTTGGCCTAACCCTGGCCTAACCCTGGCTGTTGCTGCTCCTTGGGGAGTGAACCAGCAGATGGAAGCTCTCTCTCTCTCTCTCTTTCAAACCAACAAATAAAACTGATATAAAAACACACACTGCCCATCAGCGACCTGTTATCTCGATTCTCCTGCTGGAAGTTACCCCTTTGCGAGCGTGGGAAGCTGCATCAGGAGCCGCCCACCACTTGCTACACTGCAGCCTCTCCCACGGTACTCCGCCCGCACCCAAGCAGAAGTGAGAGCAGGATGAAGGGGCTCCCACGCCGGGACCCCCAAAGCAAGAGACACGGCGAGCTCTCCCGCGACGCGTTTCCAGAGAGCCCTTCCTTTGTGTAGACACGGCATCTCCAGCGAAGCATGTGCCCGTGGTCCGTGAGAAGCCCCGGGGCCCGGTGCCCACTTACCCTGCAAGGATGGGAAGGACTTGCTGCTGGCGCCTTCTGCCAGCTGCTCGCAGCTCGCCCGAGAGGAAGTGTCTCGCTGCTTATCTTGAGTCCTGGGGTTTCTCAAGCAGTGTGGCGGTGGGCGGAGAGAGAGAGAAGGCTGCACTGGGGGGTACGTTGGGATTCTGGGGAGGGAGGAGGAGATTTGCCTACCCACCAGGCCGCCCATCCGTTCCCCTTTCTGTGAAACAACACCCATAGGGCAGTCCCTGGGTGGGGACCCCTATGAGAGGCACCTCTAAAAGATGGAACTTGGCCATGGTGATGTTGGGGTGTTGGGGGAGAGAGGCCAGGCCGCAGGACGTGGCACCAACGTCCGTCTCCCCACTGAAACAAATGCCAAACGTCGCCAGACGAAACCCAAGTCCGTATGAGGACACCACTGCCCACCCCCTTGGCAAATCCCCCCAACTTGCCTATTTCCTAATCGGAAGCGAAGCCCGCCCTGCGTAATTACACTCATCGATTCGGCTGGTGGAATGATGTGATCTGTCTGGTTGGAAGTTGATCCGTTCTGGATTACAGACTCAGCAAATTCAGCCCCCCTCTGACCAACACCCCCTAGCTCAGCAACTGCCAGCATACGCATCATGAACAATTTCTATTTTTAAAAAATTTAAATTATTACATAGATGATTGTTGTGTTAAGGGTCAAGGACTACAGGAAAGTGGGTGAGATCATTGCTTCCACATTCTTTTTTCTTTCCCCTTCCTGCCTCTGGGGGGAGAGGGGAGACAAGGGGAGAAGCCACACCCAGCCTCCCAAACACCTCTGCACCCTGGGATGGAGGACAGACACCCGACGCCACCCCCCGGTCCTCGATATGGGCCATGCTCCAAGGGTCCTGCTCAAGAGGTTTTGATAGTTCCACAGTTGTGCATTCCTGCCGACCTCGCCACTCCAAGCACGATGAAATCTTACCAGAACCCACTGATTGACATAGTTCACCTTAGCGTCTCCGTTTGCCCAGATATTTACCGTGGGAGTTTTGTTCAGTGTGTTCTGTCTTCTGTCCTCATGGTCCCAGGTGTCCCCCACAGGCTCCAATGGGCTGTCGTATTCCCCATGTGCACCTGGATATGCTGTCCACTGCTCCGTCTAAGCCACTGAGGAAGCCCAGCTCTGACACATGCACTCCGCGGTCAGACCATGGACCCTGCAATTCTCTTCACGGTTGGGGTCCTGAGTCTAGCGATTCGGTTGGGGGGATCCCCATAAAAACTTCATCGGAGGCGATTCCACAGCTGATTCTTCTGTGTGCATGCCAGTACAGGGTCCGGCACATTCTGTCGCACGCACTGATGGTTGCAATTTCTGGGTGTATTCTGTCTCCACCCATGTCTTCTTTGTAAATCAATGAGTGTCGGAGCCCATCCCAGTCCTGCCCAATGCACACTTGGCCCTCACACACACCGGTGGGAGCTGCAGCCTAGTTGGAGCAACCCACAATAACCCCCACCAGGCCCGCTCCCAGCCCTAGTTCCCGTGCTTGCCAGTATGTACAGCAGACTGATCCAGTCTGTCGCCCATCCCATTCAGCTCTCATATATGTCAATGGGCACTGAAGCCTAGTTCAACTCAACCAGCCCCACTCTCCAACCCACACACCTGCTGGTGGGTGCCGTTCTCTGTCTAGCCAAGCCTGTCCTCAGTCCTTGTTCTCATGTTCACCAGTCAGAGTGGCAACCCAACTGGGAGGTGCCTACTGTTTCCTTATTGGGGCCCCCACTCCTGGAGCTTGCATTCTCCAAGTAATTCTGCAGTTTAATTTGACAAAATTTACACACCCCCCCCACCCCATGCCAGCATCCTCCAGCTGATGCTGTGACAAAGTTCAACCAACTCACACCCACTCTGGCTTGTGTATGCACCAGCAGTGTATGCCTGGCTTTCCCCTGATTCAGCCCACATGAGGCCAACAGGTATTGTGGCCCTGCCCAGCCTGGTCTGTCCCCATCCCAGCTCTCACATTCTCCAGTGGGAGCGGTGGTCCAACAGGGGAGCCACACACAGCCCCCCCTACAGGGCTCGCCCCCTCCCCCATGGCTCTCATGTATGTTAGTTAGGTGCTGTGTTCAAGTCTGGCGTGGCCCACCTCACCTCGGCATTTTTCAGTGGGTGCTGTAGCCTGGCCGGACCCGGTCCACCCTCAATTCCAGCTGACGCTGGTGGGGGCTGCAATCTAGCTCAGTCCAGCCAGCCCCCAGTCCTGGTCCTCATGTGAACTAGCTTGGTGTTGTGAGCCAGCCCTGCCCAACCCACATTCCATTCTGGTGCTTAGATTCATCAGCCAATGATATGAACTGGCTTAGCTTGGTTTGCCCCCGACCTGGGCCAAATCTATGCCAGCGGGTACCATTCCCTGGCCTGGTCTGGGCTGCTCCCTATCATGGATATTGTGCTCACCTGTAGGGACTGTGTCCCAACAGAGGAGTTCCCCAGGCTCCTCCATCAGAACCTCTTCCAGTGCCAGATCTCACGCCCACCGGTGGGGCCATGGGCCAGCCCTACTTAGCCCACCTTCTCTCCTAGCAGGAACAGTGGCCTTTGCTGACCGGCCCTCATCCATTCTAGTTTTTACTGTTGGGTGCTATAGCCTAGCCAAGTCTGGCCCACACCCAGACACAAGTCACACATGGCTTAGCGGGGCAGAGACCTAGCCTAGCCCGTCCTGCACCTACCCTGGTCCTCACAAACACCAGTGAGTGCTGTAGTCTGGCCCAGCTTAGCACACCCTGTCTCCCAGATTTACAGAGAGAAGGAAACACAGAAAGATCTTCCGTCCACTGGTTCACTCACCCAAGTGGCCACAACGGCCTGAGCTGAGCCAATCCAATCTGAAGCCAGGAGCTTCTTCCGGGTCTCCCACGCGGGTGCAGGGTCCCAAGGCTTTGGGCCGTCCTCGACTGCTTGCCCAGGCCACAGGCAAGGAGGTGGATGGGAAGTGGAGCAGCCAAATCACAAACCAGCACCAATATGGGAACCTAGGGATTCAAGGCGAGGATTTAGCCACTAGGCTATCACGCAGGGCCCTACCTAGGTCTTTTTTTTTTTTTTCCCCCAAAGAGCTGTGCCAGGCTGAAGCCAGGAGCTCACAACTTCATCCAGGTCTTCCCGGTGTTGGCTTAGCCCGTGTCTCACAGCAGGGCCCTGCAGTTCCTAATGGTATCACCTTTTTCTGCATCCAACTTGTTTTTGTAAATGGGGGCTGCTCAACAAAATTTTCCAAACGAGCAGTTACATAGATGGTGGTGTTGGTCAGCTTCGGTACGATCTCAAAAAATATATTGATTTCACATGTCAAAATGGCAGATAAACAGGGCTCGAGCCAATTATTACAGTGGTAGAGAGGTGGAAACTATCAGAAGTTAAAACTCAATTACGCGGTGCAGGTGCAACACACAGCACTGAAGCTACCATATGGAACACCTGTATTCCACAGTGGAGTATACAGCTTGAGTCCCGGCTGCCCCACTCCCCATCCAGCTCCCTGCCTGTGGCCTGGGAAAGCAGTCGAGGACTGCCCAAAGCCTTGGGACCCTGCACCCGCGTGGGAGACCCGGAAGAAGCTCCTGGCTTCAGCTTGGCACAGCCTCTGTCGTTGTAGCTGTGGAAGATCTCTCTGTCTCTCTCTATTGCTGTAAACTCTGCACCAAATGTTTTTTTCAAATAAACAAAATAAATCTCTCTCTCTTTTAAAAGAATTTCTTCATGAAATGCTCCCCCATTGAATCCATTTGCTGAACCCAAAACTTCTTAGCAAGTCGCCAACTTCCCACTCCTGTGCATAAGCAGACTCTGAGTGATCCACCCAGAAGACAAACCTTCCCTGCCGGGAGTCACAAAAAGGGGAAACCACATTGCAAGGAAGGAAGAAAAACATCCCCCTTCTGGCTACAGCCAGCCAAAAGCCCGGATGAGGAACACCCCTTCCTCCTTTGCGGGTTGTGCCAAAAAACAGAGCCTATGGAACTGTAAATAATAATAATAATAATGATAATAATAATAATAATAATAATAATAATGAAGAAGAAGGAAAAATTGTAGGCTCAGGACAAGCCTGACCTTGAGAGTGTCTGGGGACCCAAGAGGTGAAGACGCATCAAGTAGACCCCACCCCGCCACCCTCCACGCTCCCCACTCCTCACCCCTGCACTGCTCCAACGCCTCCACTAGGAGGAGACAAACACAACAGAACCCGCCTGACTCATCATAAGGCACCTGTTGTAGAATCCCTATAACTTACAGCTGCCTTCCGTGCACGGTCTCAGCATCCAGTCTCAGCCAGGCCCAGCTGGGCTACTACAAACAGCGGGACCACCTCAAGGCTGAATAACGTCGAAGGTTCGTTTTTCCCGGAGGAATGCTTCGAAAATGTTTGGAAGCCACGAATGCAAAATGGCCAAAATGGCCGTCTAGCTCAAGGAAACACAAGACAGCGGGCTGTGGAAAAGGAGGCTTTCGTTGCCCTGAAGTCTTTATTTACGCGTCGTTCAAAAGTCTTTTACATACTTTAGGATTCTGGGTGAGGTATCCCATCGCAGGTGGTCAATAACTTTTGAGTAAGTGGGTACCCCAAATTATTCAAGTAGAAGGATCAAATTGAGGAGTGGGCATTTAGCACAGCGGTTAAGGTGCTGCATGGGGCTGGCACTGTGACACAGGTTTAAGCCACCTTCTCTGGCAGCCCCCACACAGGCACCTGTTCTAGTCCCAGCTGCTCCACTTCCCATGCAGCTAATGTGCCTGAGAAAGAACCAGGAGATGATTCCAAGGCTTGGGCCCCTACAGCCACGTGGGAGACTCCCAAGGTGGAGTTCCTGGCTTCAGCCTGGCCCCACCCAGGAGGCTGTGGGCATTTGGGGAAATAAATTAGATCGCTGTGTATTTAACACATCAGTGAGGAGAGTGAGAGGATGTCACATCTAGAATGGAGAAATCTTGTTCTCACAGTCTCTTCTCCCTCTAGTGGACACAGTGAGTGCAAAAAGTGTCCACCTCTTCACCTGTCTCTGCAATACCAAGACCCAACTCCCAACTACAACCACCAAAACACTGGTGATGCCGCAGCCACATCCATACAAACAACCTTACCTGCACCCCGAGAGGCCTTCAGACCTCAGCGCCCCCACCCACGGGCTTGAGGCGGGCTGGGTTGGTTCCAGCAAATCATGACTGCAATGAAAGGCTGGAACCGGGGCGTCGTGACCACGTGTCCCCCCCCCAATCCCTCCCTGCAGGCGAGCTCGGATCTTTTTTTTTTTTTTTTTTTTTTAAAGATTTATTTTTATTATTTTTTGATTGGAAAGGCGGATATACAGAGAGGAGAGACAGAGAGGAAGATCTTCCATCCGATGATTCACTCCCCAAGTGAGCGCAACGGGCCGATACTTTGCCGATCCGAAGCCAGGAGCCTCTTCCGGGTCTCCCACGCGGGTGCAGGGTCCCAAAGCTTTGGGCCGTCCTCGACTGCTTTCCCAGGCCACAGGCAGGGAGCTGGAAGGGAAGCGGGGCTGCCGGGATTAGAACCGGCGCCCATATGGGATCCCGGGCGTGCTAGGCGAGGACCTTAACCACTTGCGCCACCGCGCCGGGCCCGAGCTCGGATCTTTTCTCACGGAGCCGGAAAAGGGAGCGAGTGTGGGCAAAGCTGACCGTATGCCTGGCAGGAAGGCCAACACCCCCACGGGGTAGCCTGAGATTGAGTCCCACTGACCCCATGCTCAGCTGGCCACCACAAGCACACTCAGATCCAAACCTGGAGAAGGAGGGGGTTGCAAAAGGATGGAGAGGGGATGTGGGGCAGAGGGGGACCACCAATGCCATCAGCACCCTCACACACACATACACACACACAAGTGACTGTGACATCCCCCCATCCCCTCTGGGCACTGGACAAGCCAAGCCCTGAGCAACCTCCCCACCTCCGCCTCCAGAACGGACCATGATGGAGCTTCCAGCTAGTGAACTTGACCTTGTTATCCAACTGCTAGGCACCTGCTGCTCCTGAACTAACTGCATCGTCCGAGTGGATCCCTCATCTTATTCTGGACGCCCAACCCAGGGATTCAAGCCTAGAGAAGCAATGAGGCAAACAGTCCAGACACCTTGGTCTCCCCACCTCTCCGAGCCTGCCTTTTCATCTTCAAAGACAAGACCAACCATTCACTCGCTCAACTTATTTATTCGGGGAAAACAAATACAAAGTGGGAATCCCAGGCTTGTGGGGCTCACAGCTTCAGGACAAGACGCAAAAGCAGAGAGAATACAGCAGGCCCCCCACCCTGAGTGCTTGGGGACTAAGCCAAAGCCAGCGGCACCTGCTCATGGCTGCCCGCTCATACAATATTTCTAACCAAGAGCCGGCTGTACCAAGCCTTGCTCAAAGACACACACATACACACACACACACACGAGTTCATGTTAGAGGGACACGAGGGCAAGTGGACGATGCAAAAACTCCAAGCGGAAGAGATGCTTTCCTTTTCCGGCTTTGGGACAAGGTTTGTTGGCTGCTGGGCCAATGGGAAAAGGTTCTAGAACAGTGGTTTTCAGATCATCGCATCTCTCCAGACGTCAGGAGGACAATGCATACGGGTTTCAGTTCGGCAAGACTAGCTCTCAAGCAGGTCTTTCCTCCGGTCTAACCCTCCGGCAAATGGTTCTCGGTACTCTTCTTCCATGCGCCCACTCCCTGGGCAGGACTGGGAGGGTCCCAGCTGGCGCTGGTATCTGCCTAAAGCTCTCCAGGGGTTCAGGATGGACGGCCGTATCTTTGTGGGCAGAGTGAATCCTAAGGAAGCTGACACAGGAGGGGGTGGTGGGTGGCTCCTAGCCAGCTGGGCAGGATGGAAGCAGGAAGCGCATCAGCCTGGCTCAGCGAGACAGCAGACAGTGGACCACAGGTGATGAGGGTGCCGGATCAGGTGGGAACAGGTGCAGACAGGGCAGGCCACGCCCCCCACATTTGCAGAGAAGAAAGCCAAGATGGCGGCTGTAGACGCTGGGCGTTGCCTGCAAGTGCCATGTTTGCAAAAACCCCAAGTTGCAGAACCCAAGAGGGGGAGAAGGGAGGCCCCACAAGAGCAGAAGGCTGGCTTCTCGCCGGAGCAGCTCAGCCCAACCCAGGCCCCAAACCACAGGGTCTTCCAGGCAGCAGTGGTGGGCTCTCGTGTCCCAGGAAGTTCGGCCCGTCGGCCAAGGGTCCCCCACGGTGCGTTGAAAAGCAGGAGAGGATTTCAACTCTGAGAAAAAGAGAGAGGTCTGTAAGATGACCGTATCTGTGTGGCTGCTCTGAAGACATGGTCAACGCCACAGTCCCGTGGACAAACCCCACAGCCATTCCCAAGCCTTTGCCAGAGTAACTCCTGTCTCTCTCTAGACTTCCCAGATGCCTTTGCTCCCACGAGTGGTCACATGACGGAGTGCCGCTCAGTGGAGTAAAGGGACAGCCATCGAGTGGGCTGCTTTCCCAGACACACGAGCAGGGAGCTGGATGGGAAGCAGGGCAGCCGGGACATGAGCCAACGCTCTGATGTGGCATGCAACTTAAGCTGATATGCCCCTCCCCCCCCCTTTATTCAAGCAGCTGCGGGAGCTCGGCAGCGGCCACGGCACAGTCCCTCACCATTTTGGAAGAGGACAGTGTGGACATCAGGACCGTGCCTGCGGTCTGGGACTGGGACATGGTCGCGGTCTGCCTGCAGAACCATCGCCGGTACTGTTCTCGAACCTGGGGGGTGGAGACAGAAGCCCAGGCAAGAAGCATGGATCCACAGCTCACCCAGGGGCAGAGAGGGCAGTGGAGGGCACAGAGGGCACTGGGAGGCGGAGGCGGGGGCAGGGCTGGAGCAGGGCAGGGGCAGGGCGGGGGCATCGGGAGGCTGGGGCGGGTACCCACTCACCTGGCGGTTGAGCAGGCAGTGGATGAGGAAGATGAGGACGCCCTGGAAGCTGTTGATGATGGTGAACAGGTAAGCCATGACAACTGCTGCGGATCCGATCTGGAAAAGGCCCAGCACCCAGGAGCAGCCCAGGATGAAGAGCTGGGCAAAAGCCTTGAAGGTGAGCAGCCTGTTTTGGGATGGCCGGAGAAGGAATGACAGAGAGTCAGGCTCCCAGAGGTGCCTGGAGGGGTTGGAGGGGAGCATGCATCCAGGGACAGAGGAAACCGCCCTGTAATGGCAGGTGCCACTGTGGGGCCAGACATAGAGTGGAGCCTCCGAGCCCACATACAAGGAAACCCAGTCATGTAGGCATGTAAAAGCTACCCAAGGTGGAGGGGCTTTGGGCTCAGCCGTGGAGACACCAGCGGACATGTCCAGATGCCTCGCTGGAGCACAGGGGGTCAGTGCCTGGCTGCAGCTTGTTGCTCATGCAGAGTGGGAGACAGCAGCTGATGGTCTGAGCGCTCGAGTCCCTGCACCCACGTGGGAGACCCAGATGCAGTTCCCAGCTCCTACATTTGGCCTGACCTAGTTCCAGCTATTGTGGTCCTTTGGGAAGTGAATCATCAAACGGATTCTCTTTGTCTCTCAATCAAGCTGTGCAACACACATAACCATACACAGCCATGTGAATCGTGGGCAGTTCATTTTTTAAGATCTAGTCATTTTCAAAGGCAGTGTTAGTTCGTTCACTGATCCACTGGTTCACACCCCAAATGGTCACGATAGCCAGAACTGAGCTGATCCAAAGCCAGGAGCTTCTTGCAGGTCTCCCACGTGGGTGCAGGGCCCCCAGGCTTTGGGCAGTCCTCTACTGCTTTTGCAGGCGACTTAAGAGAGAGCCGGCTGGGCAATGGAGCAGCCAGGACTCAAACCAGCACTTACTTGGGGTGGTGGCACTGCACCCCAATTCCTGTGAGTAGTGATTACAGGCTAGACAGCCCCTCATGTCAAGTCTCAGGGACACGTTAGACACACCAGTAAAGCATTACTGCAGAACAAGGTGGGGAGGCGACAAGCGGGAGCCACACCTGGTGTCCCTGAGTGTGGAGACTTCAGTGTTGACGCTGCCAAGCTTCTGCCGCAGGATGCACAGCGTCCAGGTCAGCAGGATGGAGTTGACCTACAAAGCCGCACAGAATGAGTTGCGGGGAGCTGGATGAACTGGCCATCCCGAGGGGATCCCGACCTGCATCCGCCCCCTGCAGCAAGCAGCCCTCGGTGAGCGGGACACGGCCAGCCCATCACAGACAGCTTCCTTGACTGTCGTCCCTGCGGCCAACCCGGCGGAGGGCCAAGATACACCTGCAGGCTGCCCAGCTCCCACACAAGGGCCGCCCATGGCTTCCCTGTCCCATGGTGTCCCGGCAAGCTCCTCTGCTTCCCTTCTCTGTCGCTCTCCCTTTCAGATGGATGGATGGATGGGTGAGTGGGTGGATAGATGGGTGGGTGGATGGGTGGGTGGGTGGATGGATGGATGGATGGATGGATGGGTGGATGGATGGGTGGGTGGATGGATGGATGGATGGGTGGATGGATGGATGGATGGATGGATGGATGGGTGGATGGATGGATGGGTGCATGGATGGATGGATGGGTGGATGGATGGATGGATGGATGGATGGATGGGTGGATGGATGGATGGGTGGGTAGATGGATGGATGGGTGGGTGGATGGATGGATAGGTGGGTGGGTGGATGGAAGAATGGATGGATAGATAGATAGATAGACAGACAGATAGATAGGTAGAGCTTTGTAACAAGATGACAAAGGGCTGGTGTTGTGTAACAACCACACAGGCACAGTTCAAGTCCCGGGTGCTCTATTTCCGAGCCAGCTCTCTGCTAGACTTTTCAGGTGTTAAGGAAAAAAAGTGTAGGGGGAGACTTTCCAGTGGAACACAACTTCCACACTGTCTCTCAGCAACCCTCTCTGACCCCAGGGTCTCCTGCCTCTAACCCCAAAACACTCATTCGCAAATCCACCTGTTCACTCACCACTATGATGGTGCACACCGGGCCCAGGAAGCTCCATACAAACCCTGACTCCTTCTCCAGCCAACAGCTGTGGAGAGAGAGCGCCAGCCGTTAGGACCAGGTCCTGACCCCACAGTGACTCCTGCTGCACGGGTACATTGCAGAGGCAGCCACAAGAGGTGGGGCTCCTGGCTTCGACCTGGCCCAGTCCTGGCTACTACAGTTATTTGAAGACTGAAGCAGTGAATGAAAAATCTCTTCCTGCCTCTCCTGCCCGTGTCACTCTACAGGAATGGCACTCACCTATTATCGGTCCCATAGCCACTCGGCTTCACGCTGGCGGAGATAGCCACCACCAGCCCTGGCAACCCGTAGCCGAAGACACACAGGGGCAGCATCCTAATGTGGCGGGTGCCGAAGTAATTCACCACTTGCAGGTTCCTGACCGTCAGGAAGAGTGTGATGGCCTCCAACAGCATCCAGGAGAAGCAGGCGAGGAAGAGGTAGTGCAGAGCGCCAGCGATGAGCGAGCAGCCCAGCTGATAGGGGAGCAGGAAGGAGATCAGGGCCCCCCACTTCAGCCACGAGGCAGGTGGGGACGGGGCAACAAACAGGGACAGAGTGGACCAAGCTGGACGCCGGTGCCAGTCCCCCCAGCGGGGTGGTCGCTGGGATCAGCAAAACACATCCGCTTGCTAGTGAGCTATATTGTCTGAAGTTTTATCGGTACACGGCCACCCCACTCTCTGGTGACACGTTTTACCAATAAAGTTTTATTAGTACACAGCCAACCCCCCACTTAACCTAGTCTCTGTGGCTGCTGTCGCATCACCACGGCGGAGCTGAGTAGTCACATGGCCCGTAAGCCCTGGAATTATTTTCGGGCTGAGGTTTTATGGATCAAGTCGGCCCTGATCAGAACAAGTATGGGAGGCAAGGGACCAGGCAGCTGCATACAGAGTGACCAAGAGTGACCGTCACACGGGCTGACTTTGTGTGAGGGTCCCACAGAGCTCTCCTGGCACCCCACAGCCTCACCCATGACAACCATCGCCACGGGCTCCCCCCTGGAGGAGCAGAATGGGGACAATGGAGCTGCATCTCCCCCCATAGCATTGCCCACTTCCGTTACAGTTTGTACTGGCCACTGCCCCACAGGATGCAGCACTCTCCCGCACACACACACACACACACACACACACACACACACACACACACACCGGCTGTGGGAGTGAGGAAAGTGGAGGACTCCTGCAACCCCCAAGGCACGTGCAGAAGTGACATCACCCTGACACCTGTCACAAGGAGGCGCCTCCCTCCAGGGGAGCAGCTGGAGAGCAGCCAAGCCCCCACGGCCATGGGATGGAGACAGAGCAGGCACAAGGGGCCACAGAAGACCACCCAGAGAGATGGCAGGACCCAGTGCCGGGGAGGGTGACACAGACCTGGGGGTCAGTCTTGTCGAAGCCGATGAGGAAGAGCAGCTTGGCCAAGAAGAGGCAGGCGCACAGGTGCGCGTGCGTGTAGGTGTTGTGGTTGCGGATGGAGCGGCAGAGCAGGAAGGTGACGACGGCCAGGGCGAGGCACAGCAAGGACAGGAGAATGCCCACGTGGCTGATGACGTACAAGGTAAAGTCCACCTGCCGGGACAGAAACGGGAGATGCAGGGGCACAGGGACGAGGTTTGTCGGTGATGTCTGGCTTGGCTTCTTGTTCCTGCAGTTCTAAGCCAAGCGTACTTCTCACGGGGAGCTGCCCAGCCGCCAGGGATGTGTGAGCGCTGGCTGGGACAGGCCAAGAGGCCTTCCAAACAGAGCGTCCCCCTCTCTACCATAGCAGACCACATCCATCTCATCGTTCTGACGCAGCTCGGAATCCCTACGGCTCAGACGCTTCCTTGACCATGCGGGTTGGTGGAACGTCAAACTGTGGAGTCAGACTGCCCTGCTCTCAGTCTTCCACCCACCCCATTTCACAGTGGAGGCAGCAGTGTGGCACTGGGGGCCAAGCCACCATCGGCTGCACCGGCATCCCACCGGAGTGTGCCGGCTCAAGTCCTGACTTTTCCACTTCCCAGTCACTGACCTGCTCACGCAGCCCTTAGGACCCAAGTCCCTGCCACCCACATGGGGGAGACCCGGATAGCGTTCCTGCCCAAGCCCCAACCGTTGCAAAGCATCTGAGGACCGAAGCAGTCAATGGGAGACACTTCTACGCCCACTTCTAATTTTTACAAACACACCTAACAAAATAGTCCAGCACACAGCAGGTGCATGAGACAGGCAGCTCGTGAGTCTTAATAAACGCCCACAGCCTCTTGGAAATCAACTTTTCTCAGTCTGGAGTCCAACCAGATGGTGATGTCGGACCCACAGCCAGGCCAGGCCCCCTCTGCTCCTCGTCCAACCTGGGACTCAAGAGATGACATCACCAGCACTGACCGTGACCTCCCGAGGGGCCATGATGACCGCCAAGTTGGTGATGTGTCTGCAGCGACAGACGGTGTGCGTCTCGGAATCATTCAGAATAGAACAGCCAGAGTGAGTCCATCTTCCACCATCCTCATCGGCAAGCCAGGAAACACAAAGGGGGGTCTCATGCTTTTGCTTTGGCTAAAAAAAAAAAAAAAAAAAAAGCACTGAGTGAGTAGAGTCGGCACACAAGCCTCTCCGACTTCTTTCGCTGGAAAAATCCAGAAGCCTGGTTCCCCCGCCGTGTCCCTTCCAATGGACTCACTGCAACGCACCTCAAGGGCAGGCATCCAGCCCAAGGGTCAAAACCACCCTTGGAGACTTCACATCCTGGATCATAATGCCTGGCTGGGGTCAAGTCCCAGCTCCCTGCAGGTGCACACCCCCAAGAAGCAGCATGAGAGACCTAGAAGACGCTCCCGACTTCAGGCGAGTTCAGTTCTACCCGGGGCAGCGACTGGGGGAGTGAACCACTAGATGGAAGATTTCTGCTTCTCCCTCTCTATGTAACTCTGCCTTCTAAATCAATCAATCCATCACAAAAGAAAACTAAAAGACGTGGGAGAGCTCCTTCCTCTAGGGAGAGAACCCAGCCAGTCCCTGGGAGGTTACCGTGACAACAGACACGGCCTGTACCTTGGGCGATGTCCCAAGCCATGATATGATTTGTCTAGATTTTTACTAGTCAGGCAACCTAGGGCGCAAGCAGGCAGGAGTTCCCCTATGCTGCTTATCAACAACAGAGCTTCTTCCAGTTGGCCCCAAACACGACAGTTAAGGTCACTGGGAGACAAGCGGTTTCCATAGAGACCGTCCCTTCCAAGACCTGGATGCTTTCGAGTCTGTAGAGTACATCTTTCCCGAAGCCATTTTTCTTCTCCCCGGTCAGGATGCCGCTCACAACCCGGGTGTTCATCTTCAGTCCGCGCGCAGAGAAGTCCCAGAGGTCTCGGGAGAAGCGTTCGTCCATAAGAGATTCCAGACCCACGAAAGAAACGAAAGCCACGCCGGCTCTGCCTGGAGGACCCCCACGCCAGCAGCAGCAGCAGAAGAAGAAGAAGTGGGGGTTAGATTGCCAACCACCTCGTGCGGGCGTGCACCACCAGCTGTGATGGACAGCCCGCCCCCCCTACTACTCCCCCTGCCCTGGAGGAGGTGCCATCCTCACCCGTGGACCCCGACTCCTCGACGGTAGAACAGCTGATTGTCATAGCATCTCCTTTGGCCTTCAGGTTGAACAGAACATCCTTTTCCTGGCATCCTCCCACGACAACTTTGCTCTCAAGATCTGCGAATACAAGAGTGTTCAGGGCACGGACCTAGGAGGTGCCAGGCAGCTGCCGTCGGCAGCCACTCGGCCTCTGCTTCTCATTTCTCATCCCTGACACAGCTCTAGTGACAGGATCCATTTCCACTGGCTGTCTGACAAAAGTCAAGTTGGAGAAGGACGTTGGCTGTGGGTTGGGTGCGGGGGGTGGTGGTCGTTTCGCTTCCAGAGGAAGTTCAGGGTCCTCTGATGGACCACTTAGAGATCTGGTATTGCCGGCTCACGCTGGGACATGCTCTCCTAGGATGTGTTTTATGGAGCCCCCCCCCCCCAAAAAAAAAGAGAGGTTGCAGGGGTTTCAAATGCAGAGACCCTGTCTGGCCCAGCCACGAAGATGCCACTGGTGGGACCACCACATCCCTCATCAGCCGGCCAGCTGTAGGTGGTAGATGGTGGCCCAAGTCATCGCATCTCTGGTCACCTACCTGGGATAGCTGGATGAAGTTTTTCTGCTCCTGCCTTCGGCTCTGCCTCGCTCCTGCACCTGCCCACCACCCGCCCCCCAAAATCTCTCTCTACCCATCTTGTGTCTCTCTCACTGTCTGTCTCCCAGACATGCCTGCAAGGATTGGATTGACACGGACAGAAACCATACCATCATCACACACACACACACACACACACACACATGGGCTCTTTTGTCTTTGTATATTTTAAACATTGGCAAAGCAATCCTCACCCAGGCATGAGCCAGCCGTGCCCGGCAGATCCTACCCACCCAAGCCCGGCGTGCGAATGGTCTGGCTGTGGTTCCCAGAGGCGGAGGGGAGCAGGAGGGCCGCCTGGATGCTGCTGTCCGTGCTTTCCAGCAAGGCCGTGGCCAGGGTGGACGCCTCCTCCCTGGTGAAGTTGCTGGACCACTTGGATGTCTGCTCAAGCACAGAGGTGAGGTTGTCGGCTGCCATCTGCAAGAAAACACAGCTCTTCTCTCTCTTTCCCTCCGTCTCTCCCTCCCTCTCCCCCTCTCTTTCCCAAAGAGAGATAGAGGGGTCCCCTCCCATTTCAGCCCTTCGCCCCCACTGGGAATGCTCACGTCCCTTCTGGCACGCTGCGGGTGAGCACATGGGAGTGTAATTTGCACATGTGTATCCCCGGACCCAGACATTCCTCCCCGCTGGGAATTAATCCTCCCAGAAGCACAGCTAAAGCATTCAAGGAAGCCACCCCCTTCCCCGGGGAGTTCATCTTAGGATCGTTTTCAAAGAGCACAGGAACCTATGGCTCGGAACTGGTATGGTGGCGCAATGGGCTAAGCCACCATCTGCCAAGCCAGCGTCCCAGCATCTCATTAGCAGAGATCGGGGAAGTCCCTGCACCCATGTGGGAGACCCGGCTGGAATTCCAGGTTCCTGATTTAGCTTAGCCATGTCCTGGCTGTTACAGCCGTGTAAGGAGTGAATCAGCAGATGGAAGCTCAAAACCTTTTTTAAAAAAGTTGAGCTTATTTTTACAGAAAACAATCCCACGAGCTCCGCGCATAGCCTCCATCCCATCCATCTTCCATGGGAGCTCACGCTTTCACTCCTACGCCCAGAGCACGTGACACGGTAACTCCAGCCTGCTAACCCCACAGGACCCTGCACCCCAGGCAGCCCCAGACGCTCCAGGCTGAAACGCCGGAAGGAAGGAAGGAAGCCGGTGCCGCTGCTACCTTCAGTGTCGCTGCGGTGGTTTTGTTCTCACAGCTGCTGTCCAACACGCCCAAGGTGGCGGTCATGAGCCTGCAGTAAGCGGCCTGTATTCCGGGGGAGATGATGTGTCAGCAAGGACCCGTCGAGCCTCCTCCCCACCAATGTGTCACTGACAAACAGGGACCACCATGCCCCCAGCTGTCACGATTCGTGGTTGTAAATGAACCAAGTACAACGCAGGCATTTATCATACAACACACAGGGGTACTTCTATTCTTGGACAAACCAAATTAAAAGGTGACTTTAGCAGTGGGTATCTAGCGCCTGGCTCGCGTTCCGTTTCAGAGTGCCTGGTTCGAATCGCAGCTCCCTGCTCCTGCACACCCCAGCGGGTAGTGGAGGATGCCCCGAGTACGTGGGTCCCTGACACCTGCCAATGGGAGACCACGCTGGAGTTGAGGGTCCTGGACGTGACCCCACCCAGCCACGGCTGGAGCAGGCCTTTGGGGAGTAAAACAGAAGTTTCTTCAGGAACAACAACAAAAAAATGTTTAATCTGGGGCCAGAATCCCATAAGGGCACTGGTTCAAGTCTTAGCTGCTCCACTTGTTGTTGTTGTTGTTGTTTTGCTGCTTGATTTCCTATCCAGCTCCCTGCCTGTGGCCTGGGAAAGCTGTGGAGGACGGCCCAAAGCCTCGGGACCCTGCACCCGCGTGGGAGACCCGGAAGAAGCTCCTGGCTCCTGGCTTCGGATCAGCTCAGCTCTGGCCGTTGCGGTCGCTTGGGGAGTGAATCACTGGACGGAGGATCTTCCTCTCTGTCTCTCCTCTCTGTCTCTCCTCCTCTCTGTCTCTCCTCCTCTCTGTCTCTCCTCCTCTCTGTCTCGTTTTCTGGGGAGTCTCAGGCACACTTACATCTTGTGGGTCCATGGCTGCTGCGTGGCATTGCTGCTCCCACTTGCCGAGAGAGTCCACGTCATTCCTGCACTTGAAGGGAGCCTCTGGGGGGAAAGACAGAAGCCGTCACACCACACTCGCACCTCGGCAAGACACTGGCGAGGTCACAGCATGCTAAGCCACCGCCTGCGTCACCAGAATCCCATAGCGATAGAGGTTCAAGTCCCAGCTGCTCTACTTCCCGGCTAACTCCCTGCTGGTGCGCCTGGGAAAGCAGCGGAGGATGGTCCAAGCGCTTGGGCCCCTGATACCCACATGGGAGACCACATGGAGCCCCCTGGCTCCTGGCTTTTTAAATCTGTATATGGGTAGATTCCATCACTACTAGACCTGTTGTGTGTAAAACATGTTGGCGAGCAAAATAGCTAAGTCCTGGCTGCGCAACAAACCGATAGTCTTGCCAACGAGATGAGCAAATGTAACACTTAGAAGAAAAGAAACAACAAAAGAAAAAAATAACAAAAAAATTTTAAAAAAAGAGGAGCGTGTAGATGACGAGAGAGCGAGAGAGCGGGAGACTCAAGCTGGATCAAACATTTGGCACCCAGAGCTGGACCCGCGGGGGCCGTGGCTGACACCCACCCCGGGGCCATAGTTACTTTTACACCTGATGTTGCCGTGTCCCTGGGAGCTTTCCGGCCAGAAGCCCAGGGCACAGGTGCAGCTGTAGGAGCCCAGTGTGTTGGTGCAGATGGAGTTGGGGCCACAGGGGTTTGGACCCAGGAGGCATTCATCCGTGTCTGCAAGGAATCGGAGAAAGGGGATGGTGGGGCATGAAGAAACGCAGAGGGAGACGGAGGAGGCGTCTCTCCCGCACTGACCCAGGAGCTCATCCCGTGCCCTCCACCTCCACTCACCGTGACAGTCCGCTTCTCCATGCTGGAACCTCGGCTGTCCGTGGCTGGGGGCGAAGCCAGGGTGGCAAGCACAGAAGTAGCTGCCAGGAGTGTTGGTGCAGACCGAGTTCCGGGGGCACCTGTCGGAGCACTCATCCACGTCTGTGGGTACAGAGAGGGGTTGACCACGGCATGACGCAATCATGCTTCCGCCTTCCAGAGATCGGCCCCGTACGGCTCCTTGCAGGTGACAGATTGGGCTGGGAAATCCTGCGCTTGCGTGGCCAGCCTGGGGTGTGCTTGCACGCTCCCCTGCACCGCCCTGGCTTACAGATTCCATTAGAGACGTGGCCTGCAGGGTGCTATCTTACAAAGGCTCCTTGAAAGAGGCAGAAGGGACACACTCAAAAAGAATGGTTAAAAATACGCTAAACGCGAGGCCAGCACTCTGGTCCCACTAATCCTCCACCTGCAGTACCGGGATTCCATATGGGCACTAAGTTCAAGTCCCAGCTGCTCCACTTCCCATCCAGCTCCCTGCCTGTGGCCTGGGAAAGCAGTGGAGGACGGCCCAGAGCCTTGGGACCCTGCACCCGCGTGGGAGACCTGGAAGAGGCCCCTGGCTCCTGGCTTCAGATCAGCTCAGCTTTGGTTGTTGCGACCACTTGGGGAGTGAATTAGTGGATGGAATATTCCTTGCTCTTTCTCTCTAACTTGACTTTCAAGTAAAATAAAGAAATCTCCTTTAGAAAATTAAACTTAAAGATACCCAATGAACAAGTAACAAGCGAATGAGATTGTTGTTGTTAAGAGTTAAGATAGGCAATTTTCCTTAGGAATTGAACAACGCAAAATGTCCTCCTGCAGTGTGGTGGACACACAGTCCATCTCTGGCAAACCTTCGAATTCCTCCTAGTGGGATGACGATTGGGGGTGCAGCCCCCCACCGCCAGCCAAGCTAGCCCTGTGACAATCACCAAGAGAATGGGATGGAAGCCCAGACCATCGCGGGGGGACGGAGAGCCACCCAGTCCCGCTTGGGAACTCCCCTCCTTGGAAACCAAGGGCCAAATCTTCCCCTCGGAAGCCAGGAAGGAACCAGAGACGGTTACAAGAACCCCCAACTGATGACCAGCTCCGACTACAGGCCATGCCAACAAGACCATCCCGGAGCCCTTGAATGGCACCTCGTTTAACCCAGGGCCCGTGTGACCAAGCCCTATGAGCCCTACGGGCAAGAACGGGCAGCCCCGTTCTGTGTTTCTGTTTGACACCCACGGAGACCCCATTACCTGTACATTTCAATGCCTTGAAGTCCCGGTGGGTCCAGACGCCGGTCGGGAGGAAGCCAGGCATACAGGAACAGTTGTACCCTCCCACTGTGTTACTGCACACAGAGTTGGCACCACAGATGGTACGGTTTTTGGAACACTCATCAATGTCTAAGCAGAAAAAGGGGGTCCCCATCAGGACCAAAGCGCCAGCAGCTCATGTGGTCGCTGCCCAACCCCCGGCTCCAGCTTTCCCTTCTAGAACACACAGGCGTCATTTGGGGAACAGCTGTGCAGAGACACGCACTCACAAGCCTCAGAAAGTCACCACTCGCCAAAAACCCTGACCCCTTTGCTAGCTGGATGAGACCTTGCGAGTCCGGCCCTAATGGAGCTTGCTGACCTTGCCCTTGACTTTAGAATTACAGAGAAAGATCTTCCATCTGCTTGTTCACTCCCCTCCCAAATGGTCTCAATGGCCCAGAGCCAAGCCAGTCTAAAGCCGGGAGCCTGGTACCTCCTCTGGGTCTCCCACATAGGTACAGGATCTCAAGGTTTTGAGCCACCCTCTACTGCTTTCCCGGGCCACAAGCAGGGAGCTGAATGGGAAGTGGAGCAGGTAGGCCTTGAACTGGCCCCTCTGTGGAATGCCAGCACTTTCAGGTAGAGGATGAGCCAGTTGAGCCATTATGCCAGCTCCTTGCCCTGGCTTTCTAACCCTTTCGCACTATAGGGTCCTGATGCCGCCATCCCTGTTCCTTCCACTCTGCTACCACGTGCTTAGATGCTCCCATCTCTCTAAGATGCACCTCTACTTGCTTCCCAATTGCTCATCACCATAGCAACACACAGCTGCAGATGGGAGGGGTCGGGAGCTGGGACATTCTCCATGCCAAGTCCGGCTCTGGCAATGCCCTGGGTGGCATGGTCTTCACTGCACGCCCCCCCTCCCCGCTCCCCATAAATTCCCATGTCAAAGCCCCAACAGCTGGTGTAAATGTTTGCTGCTTCGCTACTCCTAGCACTCGACATGATGCATGGAACAGAGTAGCCACTCTTCTCACGGAAGAAAACATTGACCAATAAATGACTTTCAGTCCAGAAACTTTGAGACTTATCCCAACCTCCCCACTTCTCTCTCTCTAGCTCTCTGAAAATAGTCCCAGACTTGAGTCTCCCCACCCCCAGCCCTAGACAGCTACACCCACCTTCACACAATTCTCCCAGGCCCTTGAAAAGGACTTGGCCACTTGTGGCGTCGAATCCCTGCTTGCAAACACAATGGTAGCTTCCGACTGTGTTGTGGCAGATGGCGTGCTCAGGGCAGGGTTGGATCGCCTTGCATTCATCTATGTCTGAGAGAGAGAGAAAGACAAACACAGCCCTGGTTAAGGTCCAGGACCCAGCCTCCCTTGCAACCAGGCGAGACGGTAAGACATTCTCATCGATGCAGACGTCCGATCAACGGCAAAAGATGGTGCTCACAGGTTGAGATAGCGCCTGCTTGGCATCTACGGCTCTGGCACTCACACGGAGCTGGTGTTTGATTAGGTGGTTTGTAGAAAGTTGGCCCGCCCCCCCCCCATTCCTACCTTGACAGGCAGAATTGCGAAAGACAAAGCCATTGTGACAACGACAAGTGTAGCTTCCTGCAGAATTGATGCAGTCGGACTCCCTGGGGCAGGTCCTATTGCTAAGGCATTCGTCGATGTCTGGACAGGCCCAGAGGGGAAGAGCAAGGAGGGTGACCGTGCCCAGCGTGCAGACCCGGCGGAGCCCCAGAACCCCGCCCGCCTGTGAGTCAATATTACCTGTGCAACTGAAATTGCCTGGCTTGCCTGGGACCCAGTTGTTGCCAGTGGGCGAGGAGAAGCCAGGCAGACAGCTGCACTTGTACCTTCCCCGTATGTTTCTGCACTCGGAGTGAGGCCCACAGGGTGTGGGGTTTTGGGAGCACTCGTTGATATCTTCATGGAGAGAGAAGGGCAGACAGAGAAGAGAGAGAGAGAGAGCTCCCCTTTGCCCCCACCCCTTCCCAGTCACAGACTGCACAGTCCAGAGACATGGGTATCCTCCTCTCCCATCCAGCGCGCTCTCTAGCGTGCCGTGTGACACTGGGTGGTGATCTCTGGTCCCTCCCCTGGAACCCGAGTATGTGGCAACAGCACCACGCACTTCTGCCTCGTTCTCCTGAGACGCCCATTCTCAAGACTCGGCCACCACGCCGTGAGGAAGCCCAGCGGCCGTGAAATTGAATAGGCAAACAGGAAGTTTTCTTGGAGGAGAGGGAGAGGGGAAGAGAGAGATGGGAAGATGGGAGTGGAGAGGAGGAGGGATGGAGAGAGGGCAAAAGGGGAGGAGAGGGAGAGGAGAGAGAGCAGGAGAGGAAGGGAGGAACACAGGAGAGCCTTCGACGCCTCGGGGTTGGTGGGGACAGGCCCACATCCTTACCGCCCACCCACCTCCCCATCTCCCGCCCAGTGCTGGAGGGGCTCCGAGCGCCCACACACTCACCTTGGCACGTCACTCCCAGCTCTACGAAGCGGTTTTGTCTGTTGCTGGGCTGATAGCCCTGCTTGCATTCACAGTAGTAACGCCCCGAGGTTATGTTGTGGCAGGTGGCATGATCTGGGCACATGCTGGAATCCACACACCCACCAACACCTGCAAGACAGAGGGGAGGGAGACAGTGAGTAAGGAGGGAGAGCGAGGCCGAGCGAGCAGGGAACTCAGAGGTGACACACTGCAGGTGGCCAAGAAGACAGATGGATGGCTTAGTCCCTGGGACCTGCAATGCCATCGGTTTTGGAAATCAGGCAGGTTTAAGACGACGCAGCACTGGGCCTGGAATCCAATGCAGTTGGGTGAGCCCGACAGATGACGGACACACAGAGAATGGGTTGGAGTGATAGGTCTACAAGCAAGAATTATTATCCGCTAAGAGAACAGTCATGGTGGCTGGTGTCACAACGCAGTTAAGCTAAGCTTCTGATTGTGGTACCAGCATCCCACAGAAACATCAGTTCGTATCCCGGCTGCTCCACTTCCCATCCAGCTCCCTGCTTGCAGGCTGGGAAATCAATGGAGGACGGCCCAAGTCCTTGCGACCCTGTATGCACGTGGGAGACCCAGAAGAGGTTGTTGGCTCCTGGTTTCAGCCTGGCCCAGTTCTGGCCATGGTGGCCATCTGGGGGGAAGAGAACCAATGGATTAAAGAGCGTTCTCTCTCTCTCCCTGGCTTAAAGAAGTCTTTTCCAAAACTAAATTTCATGTACTCCAGGCGTCAAGGTGACTCTGACTGGCAAGGGAATGAATTGCCAAGCAATTGCAACTCCTGTCATTGGTTGTTCCCAACCCGTCCCTCCAATGGCCGAGGCGATCCCAGGAGGCAGGGGTGTGTGTGTGTGAGTGTGTGCGTGTGTGTGTGTGTACAGAAACATCATAGATGCTCAACAGGAACGTGTGGGAGGGACGGGTCACTCTGCCTTGCCAGGGTCAAGGGCAGAAAGCGGAAGGGTCTGAAGCAGACCAACAGTGACAGAGAATGCAGTTCTAGAGCGGGTCAGGTGACGATCCAAGCAGACGATTCAAGGAAAGGAGAAGAGGAGGCATAGCCAGGAGCAAGGGCGCCAGAAGCGACTTGGGTTATCTGGAGTCAAGGGGAAAGGAAGTGCCAGGGCCCTGGGGGGCGGGGGCGGGGGGAGACTTCGCAGATCGCCAGGGAGGGGAGGAAGTGAGGCAAGGAGGTGACACGCACAGAATCTTCCAGAGTGTGGTAAGGCTTGTAAGCATTGCTCAGAGAGAGCTGGGAGCCTTGGGCAGCGGGGCAGGGTGGTTGGAGCAAAGCAAGGGCGTACGTGTTGGAGCACCCTTCTCCTGGTGCCAGGGGTGGTGGGAGGCGGGGAGGAGGGGCAAAAGCAAAATGGCCAGAGAGGAAGTGGCCTTGCTTGGCCACTAGAAGAGAGAGATGGTTATACCCCAGCAGTGGCAATGATGAAGGTGACACTGGGTGTGTCTTCATTTATCGTTTCAAAGGCGAAAGAAGAGACAGAGGGCAAACTTCCATGGGCTGATTCACTCCTTAAATGACTGCAGTGGCTGGGGTGGGGCTCCATCCAGGTCTCCCACACAGGTGCAGGGACCTAAACCCTAGGTCTTTCCTCCACTGCTTTCCCAGGTACGTATCAGCAGGCAATCTGATCTGATGTGGAGCAGCCAGGACTCGAACCGGTGCCCCTACGGGATGCTGCTATTGCAGGTCACATCGCAGTACTAGCCCCATACTCCAGGTTCATCTTGAAATGCGAAGCTGCCGACCTGCCAGTTACTCGCACAGGGTCTGAGGCAAGGAAGGCCCAACAACGCTGCGTACGCACAACAACGCAGGGAGACGTTGCCGGCAGAAGCACTGCGAGAGTGGGGGTGGGAAACGACATGCCCTCCGCCCCCGCTTGGGCCTGTCAATCCCTCCCCCCTAACCCCAGCACACACACCCACGCATGCACGCCCTCCCTCGGCCAGCTTCCTCTCTGAACTAGGACCTACCCCTTTTCTGCCCCCGCCCCTTGCATGCCAGACCCTTCTTCCTCAAGTTCAATGTTCCCCAACGCAGATCCACCCACCCCAACCCAGACCAGACCAACATCCCAACCCCGTGCCTCCAGACACCCCACTTTGCCATCATTAGGCATCCCCCACCCCCCAAGAAACCGCAATTCCATGGCTGTGTGATTCTTTTCAAACTTGCACTTTTTGTTACTACAGCCCAACTTCCGTGAGGTCAAGGCCAAAGCCTGTGAAGTGGGAAGACTCCTTCCTGGTGTGAGTAACACGTAGCTGCCCAGGAAATTCCTTCCAGCACATCACAGCCCTGCCTGCGTGTCCCTCCCAGCCTCTCAACCCACTCCCTGTACCGTGTTGCATTGTCTTCCAATTGCAGCTGAGCCCCCCTGCCAGGCGGCCAATAACACTACGCACAGGCCTGGCCAGCGTTGGCGTGGGTGCCTGCCACCCACGTGGGAGACCCGGCTGGAGCTCCTGGTGCCCAACTTTAGGCCAGTTCAGCTATAGCAATTGCAAACATTTGGGGGTGGAACCAGTGGGTGGAAGATTCTCGGCCACTCTGCATTTCAAATAAATCTATTTTTAAAATTATTACACAAGGTTTCTGACCTCATAACTTTGCACACTTACGGGGGTGTACAGTAGGTGTGGACAGATGCCAATTATGTGGAATAATCAACCTCATTCATAAATCCAGCATCTCCCAGACTTATCATTTTTGTCAATTAGAATTTTTTTTTTTTACATATGGGGCTGGGGTGGTGAGCCAGTGTGCTGAGCCACCACCCATAACGTCAGCATCTTTCACGGGCGCCAGTTCGAGTCCCAGCTGCTCCGCTTCCGATCCGGCTCCTTGCTAATGTGCCTGGGAGAGCAGTAAAGGATGGCCCGGGCTCCTGCAATTCATTATCCAATTCCAATATCATATCAGGAAGCAAGTCCTAAGTGGGAATCACGAGGCCAGTGTTCCAACCATGGCAGGGGTATGGGAAAGAGGCTGGCGCGGCTGGCCCTGACCCAGCCTGAGAAGGGATTTCCTACCATTCGGAGAACCGAGAGATAAGCAACGAGAACTCTACCAATCAGACTTGCAAGCGAAAAGGTGTTTGAGAGTCACAAATGCACAAGCAAGGACTGGAGCTCCGGAAGGGCACGGCTCCATCAGAGCAGAGAGCAAAGGGGATTATCTTGGCAGTTAGGAGGTGCCCTGAACCCTTCCCTGCCCAGCTCCCAGCCTGCGGGTCCTTATCCAGCCTACTTACCCGTCGAGGTGAGGTCTGCCCCAAGTGGACTGGGTGACACCCCTCTGCAGATGCCACAGCACCCTGGGGAGACAGAAAAAGAGCAGGAATGTCACAGAGACCAGTGTTATAGTAAAATTGCTGCCTGGGATGCTGGCATCCTATAAGGGCACCGGTTCGAGTCCCGGCTGCTCCACTTCCCGTCCAGCTCCCTGCTTGTGTGCCTGGGAAAGCAGTAGAGGACAGCTCAGGTACTTGGGGGGTCCATTCCGCTCACGTAGGCAACCGGATGGAGTTCTGAGCTCCCGGTTTGAGCTGGACCCGGCTCTGGCTGCTGCAGGCATTCGGGCAGTGAGCCCTCTCTCCTTGAACTCTGCTTTTCAAGCAAATCTTTTTATCTGAATGCAAGCGTAATTGTCTTAAGTCTAAAAGCTGCAATGTCGGAGGGATGGTGCTTCCGTTAACAGGAGTTCCCAGGAGATGTTGAATATTCCCCTTGCAGATGAGACCCACATGAATATTCATGTCACAGTGTATGATATTAACACTGCACTGTGGTATTTAAATTTTACAACCAAGTAGGGCTTTTCATGTGCATTGATTTATTTGAGAGACAAAGCAAGCAAGCACCAAGCCACTAACCGACTCCTCCAATGCCTGCAACAGGTGGGACCAGGCCAGGCAGAAGCTGGGAGCAGCAGACCCCATTCGGGGCTCCCACATGGGTGGCAGACAGCCAGCGTCTTGAACCATCGCCTGCTGTCTCCCAGTGTCTGCACTAGCGGGAAGTTGGAGTCGGGACACACTGATGCAGAAAACAGGTGCCAACCCACAGGCCAAATGTCCACCAGAAGTGAGAGGATCCATTCTTTAGTACTTTAAGGCAGTGTAGCCCTGCTGCCTCCCACCACCACCACCATCATCACCGTCACCACCATCATCACCATCACCACCATCATCACCGTCACCACCATCATCACCATCACCACCATCACCATCACCACCACTACCACCATCATCACCACCATCACCGCCATCACCCCCATCACCACCACCATCATCATCACCGTCACCACCACCATCATCACCGTCACCACCATCATCACCATCACCACCATCACCACCACCACCATCACCGTCACCACCATCACCATCACCATCATCACCATCATCACCATCACCGTCACCACCATCATAACCGTCACCACCATCACCACCACCATCATCATCATCACCTTCTTGATCACCACCACGCTCACACCCTCACTGGCACCATCGCCACCATCACCATCATCACACCTTCATCACCAGCGCTCACACCATCCTCCTCTCTGCTGACCAACATCACACATGATGAGGGGTGACATGGCTGGAATCTGTGACAACAGCCAAAACAGTAACACAGCAGGTCACTACCATCCCATACTGCAGCACCAGTTCAAGTCCCGGCTGTTCCACTTCCCATCCAGCTGCCTGCTCAGGCACCTGGGAAAGCAGAGGAGGCTGGCCCAGGTGCTTGGGACTCTGCACCCACGTGGGAGACCCAGATAGAGTTCTGGGTCCCTGGCTTCGGCCTGGACCAGCCCTAACCATGGTGGTCATTTAGAGAAGTGAACCAGACGATGGAAGACTCATCTCTCTCTTCCCCTACACTTTAGTTTGGTTTAATCAGTAACCAGTTGAGCAGCTTTGGAACCCATTTGTAATCTCTGGGCTCTGGTCTGCTTGCCGTCGTAAGAACAGTCAAGATCCAAACCCAGGAACCCCGCTCCAATGACACCCAAGGAAGACCAATGACACAGGGCCCAGAGCTGCCGACACCTGCTAAGGGAGACGACAACCCAGACAGGAAGGCATTGTCTCATGGCTCAACTTTCAGCAGAAATGTGACCCATCCAAAGAGCGTCTCCCCAACTTCCCCCTCCACCCAACCCCTCAATGACCACGACAGTTGCCGCTATGGGAGGGGGGAGAGAGGAAAAGAGAGGAAGGGGGTGGTGGGGAGGAAGGGAGGGAACCAGAAGGCAAGGATGGAAGAGATGGAATCGGCAGTGACAGAGAGAAAGTTGCACCTGTCGGTTCACTCCTGAAACCGTCACGCAGCCACGGCTGAGCCAGCGCCAAGCCTGGAGCTCCATCCAGGTCTCCCAGGCAGACGGCTGGGACACCGCTGTCACGGGCAGCAGCCCCTTCCCTTAACTCTACAGCAACACAGACTACTTGGCTTCCAACCCTGGGTCCGAGCTCACTGACTGAGCCGAGCATCCCACCTGCCTGCCTCCATCACATGCCTCAGGCTCAGGGGCGCAGGGGCCATCCCCTGTGAGCCCGCCCGACTCCCCGCCATGGCTTCAGCAGCCAGGACGACATTCAACACAGAGCAGGTGTTCTCAAACCCCGTGTCTGCGCTGACACCTGCCAGCGTGGAAGGAGTTGGCCAAAGCCCCCCCAACACACACACGCCAGAGCGGGTGTCTGCAGTGCCCAGCCCCCAGGGATGACCCCCCCCCCGGCTGCCCTCCCTGTGGCCACCCCACCCGGCCTGCCCCCCTTCCAGCTCCCACTCACCCCAAAAGAGGAGCAGCAGGCTAAACTCTCGCATGGCGCCGGTGTTCTGCCTGCAAGGGGAACCCTCCGTGTGAGCTATCTGCCAGGAAGGCAACGTTACTCAATGCCGCACACACAGCGTGTCACCGCGCCCTCAGCCGCTGACTCCGGAGGAGGGCAGATGGCCAGCCCCAACTCTTCCCTCTAACTCAAAACATGGGCCGGGCTGTCTCTTCCCCTCCCATGCTTCTTCCCTCTCCTCATCCTCCAACCCACGTCCATCTCCCACACTTCGTGTTCCCTAACGCGTGAGCTGCCGCTCCTTGTTGCAGAAGACCCAAGCTCATGTTAGACTGACCTGTTAGACTGGCCATTATACAAGCTTCCTCAAGTAGGGGAACCCCCACCTCAACTCCCCAACATGCATACTAAGACAGCAAAGTGAAGTGGCTGGTAGTGTGGTGGTTTAACAGACTAAGCCTCCATCTGCAGTGCTGCTATCTCATATAGGCACCGGTTCTAATCCCGGCTGCTCCGCTTCCCATCCAGCTCCCTGCCTGTGGCCCGGGAAAGCAGTGGAGGACGGCCCAAAGCCTTGGGACCCTGCACCCGTGTGGGAGACCTGCAAGAAGCTCCCTGCTCCTGGCTTCGGATCAGCTCAGCTCTGGCCATTGCAGCCATTTGGGGAGTGAAGCAGCGGATAGCAGATCTGTCTCTCCCTTTCCAATAAAAATTAAATTTTTTGAAAAATTAGAGGAAGTGTGGTCTTTTAATGATGACATATCAGTTACTGTCATGGGAGAGCAGATGTGGGCTTCCTGGGCGCTTTCAACACCGTGTCACCATTCTTACCTTTGTAAATCTAGAACTGTTCCAAAATTACAAAGTTAAAAAAAAATCTCTATCTGAATCCCACCTGCCAACCCCTGTGCATGTAGGAGGGGCGTGTGACCCCACCAGCCACAGACAGCGGCTGAAGACCCTAACCCCACTCCCCACCCCGTCTGGAGGGGCAGGCAAGGTGGCTGCAGCCACCCCCCTGGAGTGACAGCCCAGGACGGGGAGGGAAGAGGAAGAGGAGGGGGGAACATAGCCGTGCCCAGGCCAGCAGCTGGCAGAGGCCTCCCACCACTTCCCCCCAACCAAGGGAAAAACTCGGGGCTCTCAACTCAGCCGGAGAGCAGGTGCGTGGCACGTCGCCTGCCTGGGGCGCAGAGCGCAGTTGGCAGTGAACTGGGGAGACTCTAGGGTGCCCCCTGCCAACAAGGCCGTGCCCTTCCTACCCTCTTCGCCTGCCTGCCCCACATTCACCTTCCTGGTGTCTTCAGAAGGGGTGGGGGTCCTTACCAACAGGGTGAGAGGACCCCCGCAAACGCCACTAGTCTCCACTCTGGTTTCCTTGGCTGACTTGGGCAAATCCACTAGCCTGAAGCCTGTGGTGCCCTGCTGAGTCCCGGGGACCCCCGGCTGCAGGCGGAGGTATCAGAGATGTTCCCCACGCCTCAAAACCAACCACAGCCTGAGAGCTCAGGCCACTGCCCACACCCGGGGGCTCCTGCCCCTTGGATTCCAGAATGCCCCATGCCATTCTCACAGTCAGCTGAGCTCCAAACTTGACCTCAGCACCCCCCACAGCAGCAGTGTATGCTCACCCCCCAAGTCTTATGCATCTTGCTGATATAAAAGAGTGTCACCTCCTCCAGGAAGCCCTCCTTGACAGCCAGGTCAAGGTCCTTCCCCATCTCAGTATACTCGGTCTTATCTGTGCTTGCTAAGCAACTTCCTCAGGGCAGGGGACGAATTTTTTTTTTTTTTTTTTAAACAACAACAACAAAAAACCATTTGAAAGAGACATATTAGCCTCGCCCCTCCGGTTTATTCTGTCAATAGACCACCGCAGCCAAACCAAAGCCAGGAGCCGGGGCTCCATCCTGGTCTCCCCTGATGGTGGCAGAGGCCCCAGGCACCTGGGCAGTCATCCGTTGCCCCCAGGATGCCCGTCAGCGGTGACCGCAGCCCGGGCTGCTGATCCAGGCCACAGGCGTCACTTAGGCACTCAGCCCAGACCCCTGCTCTGGGGGAATGCCAGACAGACAGTCTGCCCTCGCAAGATAAGCTACAATGTAATCATGAACTTCCGCAAATAGAGACAGGGGGCTATAGCTGCCTGCACGCACCTGCACCAGAGTCACCTCAGAAGTTCCTCTTTCCCCCCCCCCCCCGCCTCCACCGCAACCTGTCCTGAGTCCCTTTACGCCCCCGCCACTCCTGGAGCTTGGGAAACACACACGGCCCCCTTCACCTGCAGCTGGCCATGGAAGATGCTGGCCGCGTCAACTCCCTCCATGGCCCTGCTGCCCCAACTTCCCAGGAAGTGAGATTGCCCCCTGGGGCAGGGTGCCAGGGAAGTGGAAGGGGGGCCCTCCAGGCCAAGGCCAGGGAGGCAGGGACCCTCAGAGGGAGGGCCTGCGGAGCGTTCATGGGGCGGGGACAGGCCACTCGGATCGCACAGCCGAGGGCCTGGGTTCAAGTCCAGGCTCTGTCACCCCCTCTCCCCACCGACTCCACCTCTCTGCCCAGTGAGGACTCAAGTGCCTGGGCCCTCGCCACCCACGCGGGACACCTGGCTGGGGCACCTGGCTCCCAGCTTGGCCCTGCCCAGCAGCAGCTATGGCAAATTTTCTTTCTTTCTTTTGAATGCACATCCCTTTTTTTCCCCCCTGTTCTTGATTATTTCTTTCATCAATTTTGACAATTTTTAAAAAGATTTATTTACTTTTATTGGAAAGACAGACGTACAGAGAGGAGGAGAAACAGAGAGGAAGATCTTCCGTCCAATGGTTCACTCCCCAAGCGGCTGCGACGACTGATGCTGCGCCGATCTGAAACCAGGAGCCAGGAGCCTCCTCCGGGTCTTCCACGCGGGTGCAGGGTCCCAAGGCCCTGGGCCGTCCTCCACTGCTTTCCCAGGCCACAGGCAGGGAGCTGGGTGGGACGCTGGGCTGCCGGGATTAGAACCAGTGCCTATATGGGATCCTGGCGTGTTCAAGGCGAGGACTTTAACCACTACACTATCGCGTTGGGCCCGAGCTATGGCAAATTTTCAAAGTGGGAGCCATAAGCACATGGGCTGTTTCCACTGCTGTTTCCACTCTCCTCCTCTTCATACTCGAATAAGCAACATTTGAGAGAGATTTAGCCCCTCCTCCCACCCCAAGGGTTAAGCCACGGCCCCCAGTGCCAGGTACCAATTCGAGGCCTGGATGCTCTACTTTCTAGCCAGCTCCCTGCTCACGACCCCACTGGATGAGCACCTGGTCCCCATGTGGGCAACCCGAATGGAGCACCCAGCAGCTCCTGGCTTGCACCTGACCCAGCCCCGGCTGTCGCATTTGCTGGGAGTGAATCAGCAGACAGTAGACTGGGTCTCTATCTCCCTCCGTCGTTTGCCTTTTAGAATAAAAGTCTCTAAGGAAAATGCTTGGTCTAGCAAAAAGTTCATTAAAAAAAAAAAAAAAAAAAGCAGAACTAAAAAGGCAAGTTCCGGTCAGGGCGAGCTATTTTGAACTCATCTGTTTCCCACCAACATTGTGAGGTCCCCTTACGTGTGCAAGGATTTCAACATCTGGAACACGAGAACCACATCAGGACAGCAGGCAGCCTCACTGTAGCCCCAAATGCGGGACCTCAACTCCAGTGCGTCGCCTGGCAAGGCATCCAGGGCTTGGCTACTGTGGACCGTAGCAGGATTGGCTGGAGCCGCCCCGAACCCTCGCCAGCAACCAGGCCGCCAGAGACCCGGGCAGGACTCGCCTAGGATTTAATGAAAGAAGCTGCAGCTGCTAGACCTAGGAGTAACTCCTCCTGACCCCCACGAGGCTGCAGACATAGAATTTAAACAGCAAGGGCGGCCGCAGGTGGAGCCAGTTCAGTTGCGCTCAGCCCCCTGGCCTTTCCCTTGGAGCGCCTGCAGGATGGCACCTGTGTGGGTGCGCATTGCTGCTAGCCGGAGGCACTCAGCTAGGGGCTGTGGACCCGCATGCATCCTCGTCCGCTGGGGCAGCACTCCGTGCAGGATGCAGCCTGGTGCAAGCTGGCGGCTGGTCATCCAACATGCCTCGGGCCGCGGCTGCTGGCACACGCTCGGGCACAGCTAAGCTCCAGCCTCCCAGCATAAACTCTGAGCCCTGAACACACAGTCGAGCCTGTTGTCAGCTCCTCCCAACTGCAGCCTGGCCCAGTCCCCTGGCACTGCGGGGGAGGGATGTGCACAGCAGGTGTGGGTCCTGCTGGGCCCTCCCCCTCTGGATCAACTCCCCACAGGTGAAGCGAGGCCCTCCAAGGAATTTCCATTATTCAATTATCCTTTGCTCTCTGCCTCTCCTTTTCCCTGGTCGTGCAGCCTTTTCCTGGAGCACCGTGGGTGGGAGCCCTCGGGGGTCCCCGGCAGAATCGAGCCCTCGGTGTGTCGGAAGTCGGTCTAGGGAAGAACAATGCTGTGATGGTGACCTACTGTGTAGCCGGAGTCACAGGAGCCCCTTGTGGAGGCCAAAGCTCATAGACAGGTGTGTGAACGAGCTGTACAGTGTCCGCATACACGAGTGTACACAGACACGCATACGTGGACACAGGGACACACATGCATACATGTTTGCACACACACACACACACACATATTTCCCACTGATCTTGTCCTTACTGCCACTGTCCAGCAGGTGGCAGTCTTGCCTTTGATTTGGAGCCGTTCATCGCTGGTCCGGCTGTCCCTGTCCATCCGCCCCTGTCCGTCTGTCCATTCGCCCGACGTTTTCCAGCTTGACTCCGCGGCCGTCTGCCCGCCCGTGTTTCACCTATGCCCCCCCCCCCCACATTGGTCTCACACGGACCCATTTAGTGGGTTTATTGCATCTGAAGGGCAGAGATGCCCGTGCAGGTGGATGGAGAGGGCTGACAGCCACCACGCACACCCCGAAACGTCTCCAACAACAGCAGCCAGAGCTGGGGCAGCCAAGCACTGGGAGCTGGGGGCCCCCTCCAGGCCCCCCCACATAACGGAACAAGACTCAGCTCTGCATTGTGGCCCCGGGATCCTATGAGGATCTCCACGGCTGGCTGCCTGCTGCGTGGACCTGGTGCCTGTGTGTGTGTGTGTGTTGTGTGGTGTGTCCGCTCCCGGTTGTACCCCTGGCTCTGCCCAGCACCACAGAAAAGAACTGAAGTATGCTGGTCTTTGTTGACCCCACCACCACCCTGGCCAGGTTCCACGACTCCTCCCACATGGACAGCCGGGCTCCGTAACCCGTACCCAGCTGGAGGAGCCTATTTCTCTGGGGGTTCGGGAACCAACTTGAATGTGGCCAGGTCCCCACCTGCCAGTGGAGGGAGGGTTAAGAGTGTCACTTGGCATGCCAGGGTGGCCATTTGATGTTTGCTAGGGGGTCTGCATCAGACGGCCCCGGGGCTGGTATCCCAGACAACTTTGCAACTGCAGCTCACCCTCTCTCTCTCTCAATCTCTCACTCTCTTTCAACTTTCACAAAGAGAGTGGTTTTGCCCTTAAAGATTTATTTTTATTTGAGTGGGAGATGTTACAGAGGGAGGAGAGACACAGAGAAAAAGATCTTCCATCTGCTGGTTCATTTCCCAAACAGCCAGAGCTGAGCTGATCTGAAGCCAGGAGCCAGGAACTTCTCCCAGTTCTTCCCTGTGCGTGGCAGGGCCTCAAAGCCTTGGGCCATCTTTAGGGACTTTTCCAAGCACATTAGCAAGGAGCAGGATGGGAAGTAAAGCAGCCAGGACTCGAATTGATGCCCAGAGTGGGTGGCAGCATTGCTGGCAGAAGATTAGCTTGCTATGCCACCATGCCAGACTCTAGTGCTAATTCTACAGGAACAGAGAGAGGACCTCAGAGTCTGGCCCTCAACCCCAGAGCCTGGCCACTGTGGCCTGCTGCTCATGGAAACCCTGAGTGCGACCCTGTTAGACAGTAGGTGTGTATGGGGGTGGGGGATCACCATGACAGTGCCGGCAATGCCAAATTCCCAGCGTGGCAAGCAGTCTATATTTAGCAGTGAGGGCACTGGCTAGAGGTGCCCACTGTTCCCCAGCCCCCCCAGATTAACTCACAGCCCAAGGTCCATGCCCGGCCTGACCGCTCACCTCAACCCTCCGTCCTGCTGATGGCCGTGACCTCATCAGCCCGTGGGAGAGGGACCAAAAAAGCCATTTCCTGGCTTTTAAACTTCAAAAAGGGCCTATTTTGAGATACCCAATCTTGGCTTTGTGAGCCTGAATTTATCTAAACAAAAGAGAATTCTAGATTAAAAAAAAAAAAATCAGCTGCAGCAATTGCCAGGGGACTGTGGCAGCCACGGTTCATGGGGAAGGCGGTTTGGGTTTTAAATTATGAAGAAAGTTCTGGAGCCAGGGGAGGGCTGGTGATGATGCAGCCACGTGAACCCGCCCGACGCTATTCCTCGGGCTCACCCCCAACCACGCAGAGATGGCCACTGGGATGCGTGTGTGTGTGTGACCACAATTTTTAAAAATATTTCACTCTAGTAAATAAGACATGAAGCCTGCCCATGAATAATAAATGCGATAGGATGCGTAGCAACCTGGATCAGCTTTTCCTGCAACCAGACAGCTCTTGGGTGGCAGGGTGGGGGAGGTGTTAGGAGTGTTGAACAGTCACGAGCCATGGGAGCTCCAGAAGCCAGAGGAGGGGTCCACTGTCCCCCCTCCAGGCTACACAGCTCCAGGTGGTGGGCCACTCTGAGATCCTGCATGAGAGCTGCCTGGTCCCAGCTCCCTGCTCATGCAGACCCTTGTGGGGCAGCAGGAAATGGCTTGAGTCTGTGGGGTCTTGCTGCTCAAGATGGGGGACCAGGCCTGGGCTCCCAGCACCCGGTTTTCGGAGAGGCAATCAGAGGAAGTTCTCAAAGACGGGAATTCTATAGTTTACCATGCGACTAGAATACTCAGAAGAGGGCAGAAAGGTCATGACCGAGAACTACCCCAGCAGAAGAGTAGGGGGGCACTCCAGGCATACAGGGGTCTACTGTTGTCCCACTGTTGTCCCACTGTTGTCCCACTGTTGTCCCACGGGGCATGCAAAGGAATATGGCTGGATGCCTTCCCTGTGCCTCGAGAGATGCAGAAGATGGCCAGGATCCAGGAGTCAGGTGGGGACATGTTGTGGGCTAAGGAGTTGACTAGCACTCCTTAAGCCGAGCACTACAGGCGCTGGGCTTGGGGCTAGAAGCACCTGGTCTCAGCTGTAGCCAGCTGTAGCCAATCTACCCTAATGAGGGTGTGGGGGAAAGAGTAAACAAGAAGTAGGTGAAAGGTCAAGAGAAAAGGCAATAAAGGGAAGCCTCTGAGAGAGAGACTTCCACCATTCCTGTCTCCAGTCGGTGCCTCAATCCCTCAGGACCCTCGCCGTGTCCCCCCCGCCGTAACAGGGACAGAGAACAACTCAGCCAGTGGTAGCAGCACAGAAGATGGACTGTCCGCCCAGGCCAGATCCCCAGGAATTAGCATAAGATCTAAGGAACTTACAGATGAGAGAGATGGATGGATGGGAGGGTGGATGGATGGGTGGGTGGATGGATGGGTGGGTGGGTGGATGGATGGGTGGGTGGGTGGATGGATGGGTGGGCGGGTGGGTGGATGAGTGGGCAGGTGGGTGGATGAGTGGGCAGGTGGGTGGATGGGTGGGTGGGTGGGTGGATGGATGGGTGGGTGGGTGGGTGCGTGGATGAATGAATACATGTGTAAATAGTTTAAAGTTTATACCATTTAGCAAAATTAGGGGTAGGAGGATGCAAAACAGTAATTACGCTCTTCAATAAGAAAAGCAAACCAAGTGTACACTTGCTCTCCTCAATCTCTCCAGTGTGGCGTTCTTTCCTGCCTCTTGGAAATCCCGGGTTTCCACCTCCTCGTCCCATGGTGATGGTGGAGGGGGTGCTCACTGCGGGGAGGCAGGTGTGGCTGCGTGAGGGACGTCTCACCTCCTGAACAACACCACTGCATCTTGGGTCTGTCATTTTATTACAAGCAGTAGCCCTGAGCCCCACCTTCCTGAGGGGACCCCAGGGGCCATCCATGCGATATAAATTACCCACAGCAGGGCATCATGCTAAGACCCCAGCCAGCTGGACACTGGCCCTCCACTGTAACCTCAGTCTCTTTGCCCGCAGGGACCGGCCCCGCTGCAGGCTCCTTCCGGCTTCGAAGCCTTAAGTTCCCCGCCCCCCGGCCAGGACCCCAGGGCTCAGCAGTACTCTGAGTAGTCTTCCTCCACGTAGTTGGAAGGGAACCAGCCAATCTGAAGAGAGAGACATAGCTGGTCAGGGTGGCCTCTGCGTGGCCTCCCGCGGCTCCCCAGCACACCAGACAGGCCCTTCCCACCTCAGGGCCATGCACCTGCTGGCTGCACACCCTGCCCCCCCGACACCCAGCTGCCCCGCCCCCTGCCTCACCCGTCCGTAGATCTCGCCACGCCACCAGCCCTGTTGACCCTTCTTGTTGAGGATTTTAATGATGTCACCCTCCTTGAGGGACAGCTCCGACCGGTCCCGGGCACAGAAGTCGTAGCGGGCTTTGGCTGTGCCGAAGTACTTGGTGTTGGGCGCTGTGGGGAGAAGACAGGAGTAGGGGTGGGGTAAGGGAGGCTGAAATGCATTCAGCAGGGACCCCATGAAGGGTCCCCTGACCGGTGGGAAGGGTCTCCTATCCCAGTATCATCTCTCTGTCCCAGGCATTGCCCAAACTCAGATCCTAAGCATCCCTAAATTCGCAACACTGTATAAGCAAAAAGAACAAGAAGATTCAGGTCCGGGAAAGAGCCCCCAGAATCCAGAGAGAGAGAGAGGAGAAAAGCGCATTGTAAAACTTTGTAGGGTCAGGCACAATGGCTCAGCTGTCTAATCCTCTACCTACAAGCGCCGGGATCCCATATGGGTACTGGTTCATGTCCCAGCTGTTCCACTTCCCACCCAGCTTCCTGCCTGTGGCCTGGGAAGGCAGTAGAGGACGGCCCAGAGCCTTGGGACCCTGCACCCGCGTGGGAGGCTGGGACCGGAGCACTTAGGCCCTGCCTGCTGCCTCCCAGGCATCCGTGTCAGCTGGGAGCTGGGGTCAAGAATGGCAGCCCTTCATCCAAACTGGGACGCAGTGCCACCTGCTTGCTGGATGGGACACCCACAGCTCTCGACCCAGACTCTTCCTCCCCCAGTGGACCCCAGCCCAGGTGCATCCCGTTACCTGGAGGCCTGCTGATGGCTCTCCTCTCGGGCTCCTTGAAGGGGAATTGCAGGGTGGTGTCGAGGGACTTGAAGCAATCCTTCAGAGAGTTCTTCTGGTAAAACTCCACCAGCTCCTGGCAGGGAGAGTGACAGCATGATGGGGGTCAGTCCAGGGAGCCGGCCCACGTGGAGGCAGAGCCAGGACGGGGGTGCGGGGAGGAAGCTTGGGCCTTCCTGCTAGGGGAGCTGGGGCAGACTCATTCTCCTGAGACGTGGGTTGCTGATGTCTAAGACACAGTTGAAAATCCCAGGGCACTGAACTGAGACATGCTGGACTCCCCTCGAGGGGGCCGGTCACTCGGTCAGAGCTCAGCACCAAAGTCCACTGGCAGGTGGGCACCACTGGGGATGGCCACGTGCCCCCATCGGAACACGTGGGTTCCAACTCAGTGCTGCTCCCTGCTGGCGTGCGCCACGGGAGGTGGCCAAGCATGCCTGGGCCCCCTGCCATGCATGTGGGAAGTCCTGGCGTTGGCGTGGGCCCCAGCGCCAGCCACCACAGCCATGTGGGGACTGAGCCAGTAGATGAAAAATATTTCTCTCTCTCTCTCTCTCCCGACCCTTCTCTCTCAAGTTGGCACTTTCAAGTTCTAAAGGCTTGTGTTTGGCAAGGTCGAAGTTCTGTCATTCTGTGTCGTAGCTGGAAGAGTATCATCATTAATTCATTAATTATTATTATTAATTGTTACTCTGGTTGTAGCTCCTGAAGGGACTGGAAGGCAGTTAGCCTGCTGTGCCCCCTGGAGGCATGGGGACCACTCTGAGTGTGGGGAGCAGGGGTCCCAAGACGGAGCCCACAGCGAGGGGTCCCACCTGGGACTGGGGGACCAGAGCTGGGGAAAACGGGGTGCCGGGCTCCTACCGTCAGCCCCCGGAAAGCCTTCTTCTCCGTGATGCGGTACAGGCCCTCCGCAGTCATAATCTTGATGTGCTTCACCTCGACGTTACACCTGGAACCGGCGGAAGAGAGAGGACTCAGCACGGAGTCCAGGCCACCTCTTCCACCGTGGACGCAGTGAGCCAGGTCCCCTCTGGGGTCAGGGGCCACAGTCACCCTGCCAGGTCACTCCTCCTGGAGCTGTGCTGCTCAGAGACTTCTCATGTGGAAACCGAGACTTGTGAAGAAAGTGTGGACAGGAATGCAAGGCTCAAGTGGAGGGAGCGATCCCGCCTCCTGCTCAGACGGCCACAGGATGTGATGGCTGTGGGAGGAGGGACCCACTCCTGCCAGTGGGGTCGGCAACAACAGGGGCTGCCACTGTGGCACCACCTGCCATTTCCACATCCACCCTGTCCGCCAGTTCAAGTCCCAGCTGCTCTGTTTCTGATCCAGCTTCCTGTTAATATGCCTGAGAAAGCAGCAAAGGATGGCTCAAGTTCTTGGGTCCCTGAACCCATGTGGGAGACTCCGGTGAGGCTCCTGGCTCCTGGCTTCTTGCTAGCCCAGCCCTGGCTGTTGCAGCCACTTGGGGAGTGAATCAGCAGATAAAAGACTCTCTCTCTCTCTGCTGTGTGTGTGTAACTCAGCCTTTCAAACAAATCAATAAACCTTTAAAAAACAAAAACAACTCCAGGGACCTCCACCTCTGGTGACAGAACCACCTAGATGAGAAAACAACCACTCCCCTGCAGTAAAATTCCTAACTCTGCTGAGACAAGAGATAAGCTCTAACAGGGAAAAAAGGAAACTTCCAGAAGCCAAACAGTTGAAGATAAAAACTAAGACCAGAGAGCCAGCGCCAGGGCTGCCGACGTGGGTTTGCTGAGCGTGGCGACCCATGAGCCTGCAGGGCTTAAAGGTCATGTACCAGGTGTACGCGGCTCCCGGGGCCGCGCACCATGGGGACAGCACCCCTGCTTGGTGCCCCTGGGGAGGCCTGGCCAGAAGCTACACCCAGCACCAAGGGAGGACAAGACGACCCCACCCACCATCACCGCCCAGGCACTGACCCAAAGTCACGGGGAATTCACGCCCTTGGCCCTGCCCTCCTGCAGGCTGGGAAGAGCTGACCCTAAGGCAATCCGCCTCAGTGTCACAGCTCACACACTGGGAATCCCAATGGAATAGGGTATAAGAGCCACTGGGTGAGCTGGGAGGCGTGACACTCCCACTGGCGGAAGTGGCAAGTCTGCGAGAGTTGGGGTGCCACCCGGGACCCCCAATCCCGTGTCGGGGAATCGGGGACTGGCCCCTGAGCGAGTTCCTGGTCTCTGCTCAGCCCGGTACTGGCCTTCTAGGGAGTGAACCAACAGACGGAAGATCTTTCTCTCTCTCTAACCCTTCCTTCCAAATAGAGGGAGCAAGGGAGGCGAATGAAAGGGGTAACTGGGGACCCAGCAGGGACCCCCGTGACAGGGGAGCTGAGGTCGGGACACACCCCCCTTTGACCCTAAGGCACAGGCGCCTGTGGGAGACAAGGAGGGGTCCAGGAGGGGAGAGTTACTTGATGCTGATGGCGAACTCGGCTGCGTCCTTCACCCTCTGTCGCACCAGGAAGGTCCCATCCGAGCGGTTGGTGAGGATGCTCTCGGCTCCCGCACGCTCCATGGGGCCGGCGTACCTGCAGAGCCAGCCCAAGTCACACAGGGCCCCAGCACGGGGCACAGCCCCCTCGTAAACACACACACACACACAAACACACAGCCACATGGAGGTTGCCTCTCCCACCTGCCAGCCCCCTACAAAAACTACCCCAACCCCAGAGATGTAAGGATGTGGGAGACGCAATGCCCAGCTTAGAGAGGGCAAGGGGGGTGTGACGACGGCAGCTGATGCTATAGAGCGTGCCCATGGTGAGCGGGGTCCGGGACCAGGCACGGCACAGGCTCACGGAGCCTTCAACACCCCCGGATACAGCACACTGCCTTGGCCTCCTTTCCAAGGTACTGGTCCAAGGGCAAAGAGCTGCATAATGTGGGAATCGGGATTTGAACCCAAGTTAGCAAGAAAACCTCCACTCCTTACTGCTGCAAGTGAAACGGGTAGCCAGAAACGGGGGGAGGAATTGCTGCTGTCATCACCATCTTCATCATTCCTCTGTAACTGTGACCATTCCCCTTCCACAATGACCACTATCCCCCAAGTCCCAAGGGCCCGTCTTCATCTTCCCTTGCCCTCAGCAGGTGCACAGCCCTGGGATGGACACAGCAGCCCATTCCCTGACCTCTGAGAATCAGTAACTGGTTTATCCAGAGGCCCCTCCGTGCCCAGACTGCTCCCCCTCAACAACCAGAAGCCCCTTGTTAAAGAGGCAGGATGTAGGATGCAGTTCTACTCACCAGAGATGGACAGACAGGTCCTGAGGGGGGCCCTGGGACAGAGAAGCCAGCTGAGGCCATAGGCCACTGACCGCAGGGCAATCACCCATTCATTCACGCCACAAGCACTGTGCTATTCATGGCAGACACAACCCAAGCGCCAAGGGGGAGGGATGCTCCCGGGAGCCCAGGACTGTGGGGCTGCCCTCCCACCTGCTCTGTACAGCCCTCAAATCAAAGACATAGGGAAAAATGGGGTAAAGAAAGGGCGGCCGATGACCCCGGGCAGGGGGGCCATGGGGAGCCAGGCCTTGTCCTCACAGCTGAGAACCAGGTTCATGCGACAGCAGGCAGGAGAGACGCCCCCCCGGGCTGTCAGGGGCTGGGTCGGGGCGGCATGGAGGCACTTACGTGCACGTAGGGCTTCACCCTGTTACAGGGAAACCAGCCAACCTCGTTGGTCGCCGTGTTCCTGCCCTGAAACCCAGAGGACAAAAACACACGGAGGTTACAGGGCATCCACGTGCGTGTCTGCGTGTGTGAGTGTGTGTGTGGTTGTGTGTGTGACCATGACTATGTGTGCATGTGTGTGAGACTGTGTGACCATGACTGTGTGTGACTGTGTCCTTGTGTATGTCTTTCTGTGTCGGCATGTGTGTCTATATGTGTGTGCGAGTCCACCTCTCACTCAGAGACCCCTAGCCTGTCAGAGCCTGGGTTTCCCAGCAGCTTCCCAGCAGCAACCACCTCCAGGAAAGGCAGACAGCTCACACGGGTCAAGTCTAGAACCTTCTAAGCACATCACACCTCCCAGGCCCCGCCTCCTGAGCCAGGGGTGCACCTGCACCCAGGGTCCCCCTCCCTGGCCCCGCCCATCCCGCAGGGCCCAGCAGCCCCTACCTCCCACCAGCTCTGCTCTGCCTCGGCCTTGGTGAGTTCCACGATGTCCCCCAAGCTGAGCTGCAGGAAGGGGCCGAAGGCTCCAGGGGGCGGGGGCAGCCCAAAGTACTCCTGGAAGACTTCCATCTTGGGTAGGCCTGGAGGATGGCGAGGATGGGGGTGAGCGGGGTGGGGCAGGCAGATGGCCAAGGGCTCGCCCACTGGGGTCCCATGGCAAAAGTGGGGAAGGCTGACAGTGGAGACTGTGGCCATTGTGGTAAGGACAGTCTCAAAGTGCTGTGGGGTGGGGCGGACCCCATTTCGGACATCCACTGCACGCCCCCCCCCACCGTGTATATGCCCAGGACAGCAGGTGTCCAACGGAAGCTACCTGTTGGTAGAGTGACCCCCCCCACCCCTGCCTTGCTCCAAGCAGAGCTGGGACAAACGGGGGCTCCCTGCAGGCTGCTGGGGCCAAAGCACAGGGGTTGGGGGGTTAGCAGGTGGCCAGCGGAAGCTGCCTGTTGCTAGCGTGAACCCCCTGCCTTCCTCCAAGCAAAGTCAGGACAAATGAGGGGGCGGGGGCTCCCCGTGGGCTGCTGGGGACGGGGGGGGGGGGTGCAGAGCATCGTGGTTTGGTTGTGGGGGGAGGGAAGGGACAACGGGGCGGCCTCTGCTGTGGTCAGCCGGTGGCCTGCGGACTCACCCAGCTCGCTCCTTTTCTTCTCCTGTGCCCTGCGGTGTAGCTTGTCCTGGCGTGACACATCAGCACTGTCACCGAGCCACCTCCTCGCACCCCTGCCTGGGGATCCCCACTCCCCACCGCCCTGCAGCAACAGCCCCAGCTTTGTGCACACCCCCCCCCCCGGAGCCTCCAGAGGCCTCCCCCCTTCTCACCTTCTTCAGGGTTCCAGTAAAATCTAGGGAAACAACCAGGACCCCGTTAGGACGAGAAGTCCCTGCGTGGTCCAAGCCCACCACTCCCTCCCTTCCAACCCCCACACCACCCTGGGCGGGGGGCAGGTACCTTGTCCGTGGCGGCCACAGGGAGGTACTCTTCCCAGGCACTCCTTGTGTGCAGGGGCCCGGCATCGATGGCAGCGGTAGCCCTGATAGAAGGTGCCCCTAGGGCGTGCAGGGAGAAGGGTTTTGATCCGTGGGCATGGCCACCATTCGGCCGGCCGGAGTGGGAGGTCACAGAGTCACAAGTAAAGCTGAGCAGTGCCCCCTCCAACCCCCAGCTCCCAGGCAGGGGGCCAGCCCAGGGTCCCTCAGTGGGTGGAGGAGGAAGAGAGCAGGAAGTGAGGACCCAGGCCCAGCCACCGCCACCGCCAACCTCAGGAGCATCTGGCAAGCCTTGCAGGAAGTGGTCTCCTCAAAGGAGAACATCTGGAAGTCATGCCCATTGGCTGTGGCGTTCTCGGGGTAGATGTTGGAACTGTGGGGTTGAGGGGGGGAAAAAGCCGGGGTGTCGAGGCTCCTCATGGCTAGCTCACATCCGCTCACACAACCACAGGTAGGCGTGAGGGCTGCGTTTGCCACTGGGCTATGGTGGGTCCTGGGGCTGTGTGGCTATGGGCACGCGCGTGCGCACACACACACACACACACACACACAGAGCAGACTCGTGGCAGCCAGGGACAGAGAGAGAAGCCAAGGGAAGTGATGGCTTCCTAGGAGCGGGGTCTCCTCGGGGAGCGAGGACAAGCTGGGGGAAGCCGGCAGGGGACATGGGTGCGGGTGTGTGTAAAATGGCACAGGTGCTAATCCCGGGAGCGGCCAAGCTTTCATCATGTGGATGGAGAGAGCAGGAGGAAGAAATGGAAAAGGCCTTGAGCCCACCCCACCCCTTTGCCAGATAAGCCGAGCAAGGTCCCATGGCAGGCGCCAGGGCAGGGCAGAAGGGAGTATGGGGCACCCCTGCAGCTCCAGCTCCCCACCACCTCCCTTCCTTCCTGGGACGGCACGAGGCAGGGCACTCACATGGCCATCTCAAACTGCTCCATCCACTTCTTCTTCATCTCCCGGGTCTTGAAGAACAGCTCGTAACCCTGGGCCCCTTGGTCCTCAATCAGTAGGAACATATGACTCCACTGTGGGCAGGAGGCGCTCAGTCTTGGGGTGGGGGGAGACACCCCTCCCTGCAACCCCACCCACATCCAACCCAGCTCCATGCCACAGACCCAGAGCTCACACACACACCCCTTCACAGGAGCCCACGCTCAACATAGCATGTCATTCATTCATTCTCGGGTGCACACGCCCCTCCCCAGATATGCACACAGGTGCACACTTGTACCCACATACACGCACAGCCACGCACAGCCACACAGAAGCCCAGCACACAGCCCACTTGGGCCCACCCTCTCCCCCACAAGTCCCGGTGTCCGGATCCCGCACCTTCTTGTTCTCTCTCTCCCCGGAGGAGTCGTCGCGGACCTGGAAGCTGTGCAGGTTCACGAAGTCCTTGAGGTCGTAGGAGTCGCCGCGCCGCTTGCAGATGAGCAGGGCCTTGTCTAGCAGGAAGGCGTACCTGGGGGCAGCGGGTCAGCGCCCGAGGCCATCCCACCTCCTCGCTGCTCCCTTCCCTCCACCTTCCCGGCCCTTCTCTGCCTCTCTTCTCCCTGGACATCCCAGCCAAGCCCACCTGCTGTCCACCTTGACCTCACGCAGCTCCAACACTGCTTGCCTCCAGAGACCCTATCCACCGGCCTCTTTATTTCTATTTGCATCCCGACTCGGGTGCCTCCCCAAATCCATGTGGACTCTGCCCACCTGCCCGTCTGGATGCCTGGCTCTGCCCAGCCAACCTCCCCTGTTCCGTATTGGCTCATCCCTGCTCCCGCCTGGCCCTGTCCCCTCCCAGGCTCCACCCCAGCCACATCTGGACCCCGCCCACCTGTCCATCTTGGAGCGCCTCTCCACCGAGGTGATCTTGAGCTCACCGTCCATCTTGGGCCGGCCGTAGTGTGCCAGGGACTGGTCCTGAGCAGGAGGCAGGCGGGGAAGGGGGTCTGTCTAGGGGCCACGGCTCAGGGGCACAGACGGCCTCCCCAGCGGGGGGCGGAAGACAGCCCACAGCCCTGCACCCCCGCCCTGCGCCCTCACCAGGTTCTCGATGGAGAGCTGGAAGTTGGTGATCTGCCGCAGCGTCTCGTTGTCGCGCTTGACTTCGTTCACGCACTGCGCCAGGTCCTGCGGGGCAGGGCAGGGCAGGGTAGGATGAGCCAGACGCCCCACCTCTCCATGCCGCCTGCCCCGCTCTAACCCCCAGGCCCTGTCACCCTCATAGCATCCAGAGCCAGCCGCAGGTTCTCCTTCTCCATGGCGTCCTGCGTGTGCTTGACCAACTCCTGCGACAACCATGAAGTGACGTCAGCGGGTGCACCTGCGCCTCCTGCGCGCCCAAGGCTAGCCACCCCACCACTACGCAGCCCCGCCAGCTCCTGCCTGGCTTAGCCGGCTGTCCTGGGACTCCCCGTGGCCCGTGTCCACCTCGCACACACACCTGGAGCAGCAGGTGATATTTCAGCACTCGCTGCATGGGTACCATGAGCAGATCCCGCAGAGTAAATCTCCCGTTGTTGGCTCGCTGAGAGCATTCCTGGGGGAGGCAGCAGACGGCAGGTGCACAGGCTGCTGGAGCAACAGCCTACCTGCACCCAACACCCCCGGGTCAGGAAAGGTGCCAGAGGTGAGGGGCCAGGGGTGGCTCTATAGCCCAAGGGGATGATGGAGGTCCAGCACCCTGCTGGGCTGCCCCAAGGGTCCCCAGCCCCACTTGCACCAGGTACACAGCTCCAAGTTGGCCCCAGCTCAATATGAAGCTAGAGGTTGGCCCAGGCTTGGGGCATTGTCCGTGTTTGGCTTTGCACAATCCCCGCCCCCCGTACCATGCTGTGTGTCAGAACTTCAGTCTGGTAATGGGAGGGTGGGTCAGCCCAGAGCTGAGGGTGTGGGGGTCAGCTGGGACCAGGACCCAGGGCTATTCTGACTCTGCTTCATTTCCACCCTTGGACACACACACACACCACGCACTTACACGCAACACACACACACACTCACACAGTCACACACACACACTCATAGCCTTGACCCTTGGCTGAACCACTGAGATGACAGAGCGATCTCCAGCCTGGAAGGGAGTGGGGGAGCTGCCCCTTCCCCTCGCTCTCTCCCCCACACGGCCCAGCCCCCACCTCCAGCTTCATCTGCACGTCCTCCCGGGCCGCGGCCACCTGCTCCAGGTGTTTGCTTGCCGACTCAACCTGACTGCAGTAACGGCCATAGACCAGGAACCTGCAGGAAGAGGGGCGGGTGAGCCAGGCGAGGGTGGCTCCACCTCCCCATCCCTCTGGTGGCCTCAGAGCAGCCTCTTGTGGTGTCAAACCAAAGAGTACTCTTCCCATCCTTCATAAACATGCACTGAGCACCTGCTGTGTGCCTGAACACAGGGTAAGGATGCCGCCCTTAAGCCCACCACCGCCTAGCAGGTGCTTCCCCAAACCAATCATTCCTCATAGGTGAAGACCAGGGGAGGCTCAGCCACTCGCCGAGGCTGCCTGGCAGCGCTGGGAGTCCCTAGCCCATTCCCACCTGCACCCTGCAGGGCCGGCCAGCTGGCCCTCACCTCTCCTTGTATTTAATGAAGACCTGGTACAAGCTAGAAGCTGCCGGAGAAGCCAGCGCATCTTTCATTTCTTTTAGGAAGTGGGTGTGCACACGGAGCAGGTCCTGGGTCAGAGGGAGGTAGGGAGAGATGCAGGTTAGGACCGGAACCTGCCCCCTCCACCCAACCCTGCATGCTGGGATCTGAACCTGCCCCCTCCACCCAACCCTGCATGCTGGGATCTGAACCTGCCCCCTCCACCCAACCCTGCATGCTGGGATCTGAACCTGCCCCCCTCCACCCCACCCTGCATGCTGGGATCTGAACCTGCCCCCTCCACCCCACCCTGCATGCTGGGATCTGAATCTGCCCCCTCCACCCAACCCTGCATGCTGGGATCTGAACCTGGCCCCCTCCACCCAACCCTGCATGCTGGGATCTGAACCTGCCCCCTCCACCCAACCCTGCATGCTGGGATCTGAACCTGCCCCCTCCACCCAACCCTGCATGCTGGGATCTGAATCTGCCCCCTCCACCCAACCCTGCACAGCAGGACCAGAACCTGCCCCCCTCCACCCCACTTTCCACCAGAGACCCAGGCCGGTTCACCTCAATGTTAATGAAGATGATCTCGATGTCCTGTGGTTTGAGGAACCTCTGCAGGGGCTTCAGGAAGTGCTGTGGCCAGGAGAGAGGGAGGAGAAGGGGTGAGGCCATGCCTCCAGCCTAGGTGCCCACCGAGACAGAGAGAGATGGAGAGAGCGAGCTCAGCTGGGAGGGACAGGAAGGCAAAAAGAGATGGAGCCCAGGCACCGGCTTGCATGCGAGTTGTGGCACGGCAGGTGAAGCAGCCACCAGGGTTGCCACCAGCCCCCACGTTGGAGCCCTGATGAGAGTCCCGGCTGTCCCACTTCCCATCCAGCTCCCTGCTTGTGGCCTGGGAAAGCAGCGGAGGATGGCCCAGGTGCTGGGCTCCTGCACCCACGTGGGAGACCCAGATGGAGCTCCAGGCCCCTGCTGCAGGTCTGGCTCAGCTCCAGCTGTTGTGGCCATTTGGAGGAATAAAGCAGCAGGTGGAAAAGAATCCTCCATCTGTCATCTGTGCTTCAAACACATTCAGAATAAACTTGCACATAAATGTTGCCAGCAGATGGAAGATACAAATCCACAGGATGGAATATTACTCGGCCCTGCCGCTCGTTACAATCACATGGATGAATTCTGAAACCGTCAGTGACCAGAGAAGCCCGAGGCCACACCCTGTGTGGTCCCATGCCTGGGCGATGTCCAGCACAAACAGTGGGCTGACTGTGCTTTCCAAGGGCAGGGGTTGGGGAGAGGATGGAGAAGGGAGGGGTGACCACTAAGAGGTGCAACTAGAACATCAGAGAGCTGGCACCTACAACGCCAGCACTCGCACTGGATATTCCATTTTCCATCCAGCTCCCTGCGGATGTGCCTGGGAAGGCAGTGGGAGATGGTCCCACGGTGCCTGGGCTGCTGCACCCAAATGTGAGATAAGTTGAGCTACAGGCTCCTGGCTGTTGCAAATATTTGGTGGTGGGGCACCGAAAAGTAGGAGTGAGAGAGAGAGAGAGAGAGAGAGAGAGTGGCAGGCAGAGATGAGAATACAGGAAAAGCCAGAGAACTGATTAAAGAGGGACAGAGGGACAGAGAGAAACAAGAGGGATTCAGTGACAAGAGTCAGAAAAAGATCCCAAGCGGAAGGCAAGAGAAACCCAGAGACAAACAGGAAGCAAAGAAGCCAGGGGACAGGGCCTCGGGCAGCCCCAGAGTGGGCACACAGGCCCGGGCACCTGCCTGCTCGGCCGCTATGCCCAGACCCATCCCTGTGTCAGTCCAGCCCCTCGGCCCGGCCACGCCTCTGAGACTGACCATGCCCCTGTGCCCAACCCCATCCTGTAACCAATCTCACCCCCTGTGCCAGGCCAGGCCCCTATGTCTGGCCTCGCCCCTATGCCCAGCCACACACCTGTGCCCGGCCCTGCCCCCGTGCCAGACCACACCCCTGAGACTGACCATGCCCCTACAACAAGTCCCTCCCCGGTGGTGTCCTGCCCACCTCTGCACCAGGCCGCTCCCCTGCACCCAGCCCCACCCCAGACCCCATCCTCGCCCCTGTGCCTTACCACGCCCCTACGCCCGCCCCGGTCCTGTACTCAGCTGTACCATGAGTAACCTGACCCCTGCACCCAGCCCCACCCTTGTACCCAGCCACGCTTCACTCCTGCACCTAACCACGCCCCTCTGCCCGCCACAGCCCTGCGCCCGGCCCCGCCCCTGCAGCCACCTGCTGGATGGAGGCCAGCGTGTCGGTGTACTTCTCCTCCGTCTGCTGGATCTCCCGCAGGCAGCAGCAGCGCTTGTCATATTCCGTCATCTTGGGCTGCAGGGGGCAGGCAGGAGAGGCCGGCGGTGAGGGGGCCTGAAGCTGCTGTCCAGCTGTTTGCCACCCACCTACCTCCCTCAAGCCTGAGCCTGCCCTGTCCACCCGGCCGGCCAGCACGCACCGGCGTGGGCAGCGGATCGGTTCGCATGAGGTCCTCGTAGATTTCATCTCCTTCGGCCTCCTCATTCTCCACACAGTCGTACAGGTCCTCGTCCTCCTCCACCGTGTCGCTGCGGGGTGCGCGGTCAGCAGGAGGAGGGCAGCTCAGGGGCCCCCCACCTCCACCTCCCCCAAGCCGGAGCGCATCAGCCCCGCCACGCACCCCCCCACACACTCACTCGATCTGGTCCGACAGGCCGCTGTAAATGTCCTCGTCACCCACACTGTCCTCATCGATGGGGAAGGGCCTGTGGGAGGGGGTGGAAGTGGGGTGGGAAGACACCCCGGGAAATGTGAGGCTGGGCAGACAAGTGGTGGGGCTGGACAGGGTGGGACACGGAGAAGCCCCGAGTCCCAAGGTCCCGGCTGGGTGGGCACTCACATGATCCCCTTGTTCTGGGCGATTTCGGTCCAGGACAAAGCAGATAGAGTGTAGATGACCTGCCAGGAGGTGACAAGGGCCTGGCTGCTCAACAAGCCTCTGGCCTCCCTCCCTCCTTCCCCCCACACACACACAGCTCCTGGCGCTAGACCTGCAGGCTGGACTCCCAGGGCTCTCCACACTTGGTCTAGCTCTCCTCTGCACAACCTCTGACAGTTCTGGGCTAGCCCAGGGTGGACGTTGACGCCATGGCATCTGGGTTAATCCCCCACTTGCAATGCTGGCAACTCATAGGAGCACCTGTTCGAGTCCCGGCTGCTCCACTTCCCATCCAGCTCCCTGCCTGTGGCCTGGGAAAGCAGTGGAGGATGGCCCAAAGCCTTGGGACCCTGCACCCGCGTGGGAGACCCGGAAGAAGCTCTTGGCTCCTGGTTTCAGCGTGGCCTAACTGCAGCCTCTGTTTTCCTTCAACCATTGCATTCCGGGAGCGCAGCTCACCTTTCCGAAATCCTGCACGTCGAACAGGTCGAAGGCCTCAAAGAGGTCGCTCCGCTTGAGGCCGAACTTGTCGCAGCAGGTGGAGAGGAAGGTGCGGATATTCTTAAGACACAGGAACTGCGGGGTGTGGGGAGAGGATGGAGAGAGCGCGGGATGGGGCGTGTAAGTCAGCGCCAGCTACAGAAGCAACTGCCACAGGCTCAGTCTCCTCCTGCCCCCGACCCCTTTACATCCCAGACAACATGGGAAAAATCCTAACACGGCCACCGAGTCCAAGTCTCATCAGCCCCATCTGGACAGCTCTGACAACCCGGGGATGCCGAACCCCTCCTACCCAACGCGGCGGGCTTTGCCGGACAGCCATGCGCACACATGTGCACACACCATGCTGAAGTCTTAACTCCCACACGGGTGCTCTGCTGGGTCGCTTATTTTTTCACGTGTGATTGGTTGGCTACAAGAAGCCAACAGCACCCACGTGTGTCTCCAGGTTGTGGCTTTTTTTTCCCCCCACATTTGCCACATCCACAAGCAACCTGACCCCTTTGTCTACACAATGCCTACTTCATATTTGCTTTATGTTAAATCTCTTTGAAACAATAGATATTTTTAAAAAGAAAAAAAAAGTTGGTGGAAAACCTTCTTAATCCGTGTGTTCTAGTTTTCGTGTCCCCATCGACTTTTTGAGGCCCCCTCACAGGTACTGATGTCAGATGTTTGCGCCCCACAATGACATTTTCGTGTCTCCTTCCAGAAACTTCCTGGGGGCCGTGGCGTGTAAGACACACACACACGAAGCCATTCAAGAAACATTGCCCCTTGGTTGGGCACCATCTGTCCAGGGCCACCCACGGGCAGTCAGGGAGGTCCCTGCTAGGAGCCCCCAGGGAGGACTCAGTCAGCCTGGCCCCCTCTTTACAGGTGGGTCCAGGGGGCGGGCAGGCACCTGCACGTGACCCAACCACAGAAACCACCAGCACCCAGCAGCAGCCTCTGCAGAAGCGATGGGGCGCCAAGAACCCAGCACCAGGAAGTCCTGACTTGACCTCGTGGAGATCAGCTGACTCTGAGCCTGCTTCCTGCACCCCCCCCCCAGTCATGTGATGCCTCCAAGGGGCGAGGGGATCGGACAGGAGGGGACAAGTGAGTCATCACCCCTCCACTCCCGCAAAGTTCGTTAAAGAAAGGAGGCTCAGCTCCATCACAGAGCCACCATCACCAGAAGCACCTGAGTGGTGGCAAGTCTTCTTGCCCCAGGGTCCCACGGGGACAAGACCCCTTCCCCTACTCCAAAGTTGCTGACTGGGCTGGGGTTGAGGTCCAGCCGTATGCAAATCAGCCACATGACCTGGAGTCACCTCAGCAGCACCAGGCTTGTTCCGCCTCTTTTGCCAGCGAGTTCCTCCTCCCAGCCCCGCCAGCATCACACATCCCAGACAGAGCCGGAAAGGTCCGCCTGCTGGAGGCTGGGGGCACCTGCTGGGGACAGCAGACCAAGAACCCCAGACCCTTCTCCTCGCCGTGCCAGCCCAGCCCTAAAGCTGCCATCTGCACCCCACCCCCACCAGCCACAGGGAGCCTGCCGGAAACAGGAAACGCCTGCTGTGGCCTGCCAGGGCTGGGGACTCCACCTTCAGCCCCTCGAGGAGGGAGGAAGGGAAGGGGCGGGGCCCTCCTTGGGTTCAGGCTTCCCTCACAGGGTGCCCAAGCTGTGCCCCGCCCTGTGCAGAGAGCATGTGCCAGTGGTGCCTAGAAAGACGCCTGGGGCAGTGGGGAAAGGGAATAAAATAGGTAAGCTTGGGTTTTGCCCAAAGGCCCAACTGGCTAATCCTCTCCCTGAAAGTGCCGGCATCCCATAGGGGCACCTGTTTGAGTCCTGGATGCTTCATTTCCCATCCAGCACCCTGTTCCTGGCCTGGGAAAGCAGCAGACAACAGCCCAAAGCCTTGGAACCCTGCACCCGCGTGGGAGACCCAGAAGAAGCTCCTGGCTTCAGATCATCTCAGCTCCAGCCATTGCAGCTGTCTCTTTTTCTGTCAATCAGCCTTTCCAATACAAGAAACTAAATAAAGGATGAGAAGAGGAACCCACCACTTGGTGCCACCCACGCAGCCCAAGCTCATGAACTGTTGCACATGCCTTCTCATGTCCTATGTTTAATTTGGAGGCAGGTGTTTGGCCTAGCAGTACGGACACCGTCTTATCTTAGGATGCCTCCATCCCAAATCGAGGTGCCCGGAGTTCACTGGCAGATCTGGCGCCCTACTCCAGCTTCCTGCCTGTGGGGACCCTAGGAGGCAGAAGGTGATGGCTCAGGTCCTTGGGTCCCTGATACCCATGTAGGTGAGCCGCGATGGAGCTCTTGGCTCCTGGCTTCAGCTTGGGCCAAGTCCCAACCATTCCAGACATTTAGGGGATAAAGAATGGATGGCAACCTTCTCTAGGAATTCTCTCTCTCTCTCCCTCCCTCTCTCTCTCCATGTCTCTCTCAGCCTCTCAAGTTAATAATTTTTTTAAAAAAACATGCATAAAAGACAAGTTCATGTAGCAAAATTCAGGAACCTCAACTCTCTTAAGAAAAAGCCCATTTTCCAGTTCGTAACCTACCTGCCTGTATTTGCTTTATTTCCGTCTGTTTTAAAAAAGGAACTAAATTACCCAGCCTCCTTTGCACTCTGGCTTCCTCGTCAGAGTCAGCCAATGGGAGGCCCCGGCAGGAGGAAGGAGACCGGAAAGCTGGGTGCAACTTCCTCCTGGCAGCAAATGTGTCTCCTGGAACAGCTCTGGGGGGACAGGTGTGACCCATGGCCCTCGTTCCCTTCGCTGTTAGACAAACCCAGAGTTCAGTTCTCTCTGCCTGAAACACCAATAATGACTCCCGCTTTCCCGGATGAACCCTGAGCGGGAGAACCCCAAAGACGACCTCGGTCATGAAACACCTTGAAGGGTCTGCGTGCACCACCCGAGAAGTCATGTCCAGGTACAGGCAAGCAGGAATTTATGGTAAGGTACTTTAGGGGGCCAGCGCAGTGGCACAGTGGATAGAGCCACCACCTGCAGTGCTGGCGTTCCATATTGTCAGCAGTTCAAGTCCCGGCTGGCTGTTCCACTTCCCATCCAGCTCCCTGCTTGTGGCCTGGGTAAGCAGTGGAGGACGGCCCACAGCCTTGGGACCCTGCACCTGCCCGTGGGAGACCCGGAAGAGGCTCCTGGCCTCAGGCCATCCCAGCTTTGGCCACTGAGGTCATTTGGGGAGTGAAGCGGCAGGTAAATGATCTCTCACCTGCCCTGTGTGTGTTTGTAGTTAAAGCCACGAAGGCCTCCTAGGCCCAAGCCTTGCTACTTGTTCATTAGGTAACTTCAGGCAGCTGACTTTAAAACTTGGTTTCTTTCTCGCATCTGTGAGCGAGAACAATGGTTGGCAGAGGACACTTGCCTGGGATAGCCACGGAGTGTGTCACAAGCCCCTTACTCCTGGGTAGCCTGAAGATGGATTCCCCTCCACCCAAGTCTAGCTGGCCTTGGTGACTCAGAATACAGGGCAAACGCAGCCCTGGCTTTTTGAGAACTCTTTTGAGAGGAGTCAGCAAGTGTTAACACATTCAGAATGACCCCTGCCTGTGTGTGTGTGTGTGTGTGTGTGTGTGTGTGTGTGTGTGTGTGTGTGTGCCTGGTCCTTCGGACTGCTCTCTCAGACTTTCTGGGTTGTTGCACTTATAGGTTGCATTTTTTAAATTTATTTTTATTATTTTTTTTTATTGGAAAGGCGGATATACAGAGAGGAGAGACAGAGAGGAAGATCTTCCGTCCCATGATTCACTCCCCAAGTGAGCCGCAACGGTCAATGCTATGCCGATCCGAAGCCAGGAGCCTCTTCCGGGTCTCCCACGCGGGTGCAGGGTCCCAAGGCTTTGGGCCGTCCTCCACTGCTTTCCCAGGCCACAGGCAGGGAGCTGGATGGGAAGTGGGGCTGCCGGGATTAGAACCAGTGCCCATATGGGATCCCGGGCGTGCAAGGCGAGGACCTTAACCACTGCGCCACCGCGCCGGGCCCAGGTTGCATATGTTTTTTCTACTTCCCAGGAACACTTGAAGCACTTGCCAGCTTTACAGCTTATATTACTTAAAAAAAAAAAAAAGATTTGTTTTTCTTGAAGGAGAGACAGAGAGGAAGATTTTCTGTCCGATGATTCACTCCCCAAGTGGCCCTGGAGCTGAGCTGAGCTGATCTGAAGTCAGGAGCCAGGAGCCTCTTTCGGGTCTTCCACGTGAGTGCAGAGTCCCAAGGCTTTGGGCTGTCCGCCACTGCTTTCTCAGGCCACAAGCAGGGAGCTGGATGGGAAGTGGAGCAGCCGGGATTAGAACCAGCGCCCATATGGGATCCCGGTCATTCAAGGTGAGGACTTTAACTGCTGGGCTGTCACAATGGGCCTGGCTCAGATTACTTTGTTGTCAAACTTTTGACTTGTAAAGCAGAGAGTGCTCCTGTAAACACACACACACACACACACACACACACACACACACACACACACAGCCCACAAGTGCCAGGGCAGAAGCCCCAGGAGCCAGTAACTCAATTCTAGCCTCCCCACCAGGGTAGCAGGGACCCCCAGTGCTGGGGCCATCACACAGCTGCCTCCCAGGGTCCCCATCAGCAGGAAGCTAGAGTCAGGTGCCCACGTTAGGTGTCTCCACCGGGCACTCCAACGTGAGGCACAAGACCAGCAGCCTATGGCTATGGCTTCACTGTCCATTCTCCTGGCTACTCTATAAGGCAAGAGGCTACCCCTTCCCTCCTCACTTGAAATAAGAAGAGGCACGTGTCCAAGATCCCAGAGCCCCACACATCTGATGCCTAAACCCCCAACATTGTGTGGAGGGCTCTCAGAACGCAGGCAAGGCAGTGGGGACTCCATCCCTCCCCCTCTGGAGCCGCAGCCAAAACCTGTCCCCACAGCATAGCCAAATGTCCCCCTCTGAAAACACATCCCGCCAGGCCCTGAGCAAGAACCACCTCCCAGCTCCAGCCTGCCCACGGCCCCCACTAAAATCTCTCAAGTCCCACCCCCAAACCCCGCCTGGCCCGCCCCACCTTCACTCACCTGCCAGCTCAG